AGATGATCAAATTTCTTTGGTTTCTTCTGATGAATAAATTTAAAGTTATGTATTTTAAAGTATTGTCCTCTAATTCTGCTCTCACAGTCAAAGTCAAACCAAACTCATCAATGTCTCTCAGCATGGATGCAATAATAATAATCCTTGCATTTGATATAGCACTTTATAACATTGTTGAGACGTCTCAAAGTGCTTCACAGAATATACTGTAGTGAATTGATCATATATTTTGTGGGCGCAACTCGGCAGCCAAATATGCACAGCAGTGACCCACAAAGAGTGACGATCGATAGATCGATAGATTTGGTATTTCTTTTTGTTTATTTAACATTTATTTGAACAGCCACATACACCCCAATCCTACCTTGAAGCAACAGTAATCTTCTTTGTGTTTGATAATAAAACTGTCAGTTGCATTTTTCCTGTAAGCTTCAGGCAGCTTATTATCTGCGTTGTCAAGCTTGTAGCAAAAAACTTTGCCATAATAAGTCATCATCAATTAAAACAAACCTGTTTTTTATATATTTTAATAGGTAAATATTATTTATTTTCACCTTTTTTTAAAAAGCACTAAATCATTTAAGGTATGAGAACAATTACCTAACAAACTATTTTCCTGGATGTTTCCACTTTAACTGATTTAAATAATTTACTTCAAATGGGTACATTTATTTACAATAAAATTACATGTGAAATGCCTTCAAAAAGTTCTGCCCAGTGGATAGTTCTCGGGCACTAATTTAATTATTTCCTCAATGAATTATAGCATATTTGTACTAGAGGATGAATAGGCCTGTGCTTCTAAACAAGTCCACACTATTCTTATTGTGAATGTGCTCTTCAGGGGAACATTGACTGCATTCTCTATGTTGGATTTAAAGGAAATTAATAAGTGTGTTGAGAGTCGAGTCTATATGCCCTGCCCAAATTACTCTTGCTACTTCAAGTAATGAAGGGGTTTATTGCTACAGTAATGAGCACAGTTTATAAGACTCTTGTTTTAAAACAGTAATCCAACTAATGTTTTACAAATATTCCCTGAACTATAAATTAGAATTACAATGAACTGCTGTTATATCCACAGCATTGCCACAGTTTATTTTCACACAATGTTCATCTTATTGCTATCCAAATTACTGTAAATTCCACTGAAAAAATGTTAACGAGGTTGAACATGTCAGTATAATAAAAGTAGAGGAACTGAGCTCTGGTTGCAACTGAGATGTTTAGCTGGTATCATAACTTATAAAGAAGACCAGACGATGCAAACTAAACTCCTTTGTATTTCTATTAGTTAACTCACTCCCTAATATCCTTTCCAAGCAAGAAAGTGTATGCATATCCAGGTCTAAATAGCACTATTTTTTAAAAAAAGTTGACAGCTGACATTTCATATCACCCTCTCCAGGCCAACTCTCTGAAGCTTTTCTTGAATGCCAATTTATGCCAATTTCCTGCCTGGGTGCCTGAAGCTTCCTTTGGTCCCAATCTGGCTTCACAGAAGTTGAAACTGAGTTGAACCTTCCAGAGAATCAATCTGACAAATCTGTTTGTCTCACAACGTCTGTTATTTACAAATCCTTTTGAAAATTTTAAACACTCACAATAACTTGCTTTTATATAATACCCAAGTTGGATAAAGTCTCAGAACGCTCTACAAAGTTGGGAATGGACGCCAATCAAGGGAGAAAAGAAAGGGGAAGGAGAAGGTGATCGTAGGCACGGCCAAAGCGGTATATTTTGAAAAATGTCTTAATGACAGACAGAGAGGGGGTGAAACAGTGGGGTAAAGGGAGGTAGTTCCACAGGTTAGCAATATAATATCTGAAAAGGGACAAGTAGCAAGCTCAAATTTGAGCAAATTTGAGTTTGATGAATGGGGTTTGAGGTCACAGAGGTCTGTTGGGGTGTGGGGTGGACGCAGTGGTCTGCGGGGTGTGCAGTAATACGACATAAATAAAAATACAAATGTACACCTTTCACATTGGGAGGACATCCCCAAGCACTGATGGGTTTGTTTGCGGTGTATAATTACGTCTGTTTGGGGGCGGGGTGTAGTACGATGTGTTGAGTGTGTTCTCGGGAAATGGTGTGTACATAAGAACATAAGAAATGCTAGACGATTTAAAGACCAAAGTCCATCTAGTTCGCCTTCCACCTTCCTGGCGGTTGCATGCATATATGTCCCAAACTATCTATGTATCATATCCCATAATGTTATCTCCTAAAAGAAAACTATCTAATCTGTGTTTGAAGGAAACAACACTTCCTGCTTCAACCGTCTCCCAAGGGAGCCTCCTCCACAGGTTTACTATTCGCTCACTGAAATAGTGTTTCCATAGACTCGTCTAAATTTACCCCTTTCAATCGCAGGCTGTGTCCTCAGGTTTTACTATTCTGGACTAGTTGACACAGCCTGTCATGATCTGTCTTGTTTAGCCCCTTTAGAATCTTAAAGACAAGAATCATATCGCTTCTCAATCTTCTTTTTTACCAGCGTGAAGAAGCCCAATTTACTTAGTCCAGTTCCTCCACTCCCTCAATCATTCTGTTTGCCCTCCTTCATACCCTCTCGATTTCTCCCATATCCTTTTTGTATTGTGATTACCACAACTGTACACAGTACTCTTAAATAGTGTCTCACCAATGATTTTTAGTGGCAGGATTACCACTATTAGTAAGTGTGTCCGATGTTTTTGGGGGGGGTAAGGGGGCTTGTAGTAAGGTGTATTTGGGGGGGTTGTAGTAAGGTGTATTTGGGGGGGTTGTAGTAAGGTGTATTTGGGGGGGTTGTAGTAAGGTGTATTTGAGGGGGATTGTAGTAAGGTGTATTTGGGGGGTTGTAGTAAGGTGTATTTGGGGGGTTGTAGTAAGGTGTATTTGGGGGGGTTGTAGTAAGGTGTATTTGAGAGGGGTTGTAGTAAGGTGTATTTGGGGGGGTTGTAGTAAGTGTATTTGGGGGGGCTTGCAGTAAGGTGTATTTGAGGGGGGTTGTAGTAAGGTGTATTTGGGGGGGTTGTAGTAAGGTGTATTTGGGGGGGTTGTAGTAAGGTGTATTTGGGGGGTGTAGTAAGGTGTATTTGGGGGGTTGTAGTAAGGTGTATTTGGGGGGGTTTGTAGTAAGGTGCATTTTGGGGGTTGTAGTAAGGTGTATTTGGGGGGTTGTAGTAAGTGTGTTTGGGGGTTGTAGTAAGGTGTGTTTGGGGGGTGTAGTAAGTGTGTTTGGGGGTGTAGTAAGTGTATTTGGGGGGTGTAGTAAGTGTGTTTGGGGGGTGTAGTAAGTGTGTTTGGGGGGTGTAGTAAGTGTGTTTGGGGGGTGTAGTAAGTGTGTTTGGGGGGTGTAGTAAGTGTGTTTGGGGGGTGTAGTAAGTGTGTTTGGGGGGTGTAGTAAGTGTGTTTGGGGGGTGTAGTAAGGTGTTAGGTTCGGGGGGTATAAGGTGTTAGGGATGTGTTTGGGTGATATAAGGTGCTGGGTGTCTGGGGGCTTGTTGGGGTGGGGGGAGGAGTTGGTAATCAGGCGTTGGTGTGCAATAAGGTGTGTGTGAGGGGGGGGGTGGGGGGGGTGAGGGGTGTGTGTGTGGGGGGGGTGAGGGGTGTGTGTGGGGTGAGGGGTGTGTGGGGGGGGGGGTGAGGGGTGTGTGGGGGGGGCTGAGGAGTGTGTGTGGGGGGGGCTGAGGGGTGTGTGTGGGGGGGTGAGGTGTGTGTGGGGGTGTGTGGGGGGGCTGAGGGGTGTGTGGGGGGTGAGGGGTGTGTGTGTGGGGGTGAGGGTGTGGGGGGGGTGAGGGTGTGTGTGGGGGTGTGGGGGGGGGCTGAGGGGTGTGTGTGGGGGGTGAGGGGTGTGTGTGGGGGTGGGGGGGGGGCTGAGGGTGTGTGGGGGCTGAGGGGTGTGTGTGGGGGGTGAGGGGTGTGTGGGGGGGTGGGGTGTGTGTGGGGGCTGAGGGTGTGTGGGGGGGCTGAGGGGTGTGTGGGGGCTGAGGGGTGTGTGGGGGGGCTGAGGGGTGTGTGGGGGGTGAGGGGTGTGTGTGGGGGGCTGAGGGGTGTGTGGGGGCTGAGGGGTGTGTGGGGGGGGGGGTGTGTGGGGGCTGAGGGGTGTGTGGGGGGCTGAGGGGTGTGTGTGGGGGCTGAGGGGTGTGTGGGGGGGGGGGGTGTGGGGGCTGAGGGGTGTGTGGGGGCTGAGGGGTGTGTGTGGGGGGGCTGAGGGGTGTGTGTGGGGGCTGAGGGGTGTGTGTGGGGGGCTGAGGGGTGTGTGTGGGGCTGAGGGGTGTGTGGGGGGCTGAGGGGTGTGTGGGGGGCTGAGGGGTGTGTGTGTGGGTGAGGGGTGTGTGTGGGGGGGCTGAGGGGTTGTGGTGTGTGTGGGGGCTGAGGGGTGTGTGTGGGGGGTGAGGGGTGTGTGTGTGTGTGTGTGGGGGGGCTGAGGGGTGTGTGTGGGGGGGTGAGGGGTGTGTGGGTGTGTGTGGGGGGGCTGAGGGGTGTGTGTGGGGGGGTGAGGGGTGTGTGTGGGGGGTGAGGGGTGTGTGTGGGGTGTGGGGGGGGCTGAGGGTGTGTGTGTGGGGGTGTGGGGGGGGCTGAGGGGTGTGTGTGGGGGTGTGTGTGTGTGGGGGGGGCTGAGGGGTGTGTGGTGTGTGTGTGTGGGGGGGGGGTGTGTGTGGGTGTGTGTGTGTGTGTGTGTGGGGGTGTGTGTGGGTGTGTGTGTGGATGTGTGGGGTGAGGGGTGTGTGGGGGTGTGTGTGGGGGCTGAGGGGTGTGGGTGTGGGGGCTGAGGGGTGTGGGTGTGGGGGGGGCTGAGGGGTGTGTGGGTGTGTGTGTGTGTGGGGGGTGTGTGTGGGTGTGTGTGTGGATGTGTGGGGGTGAGGGGTGTGTGGGGGTGTGTGTGTGGGGGCTGAGGGGTGTGGGTGTGGGTGTGGGGGGGGGTGTGTGTGGGTGTGTGTGTGTGTGTGTGGGGGTGTGTGTGGGTGTGTGTGTGGATGTGTGGGGGTGGGGGGGGCTGAGGGGTGTCTCACCTCCAGCTTGTGGTTGATCTGGAAGACGGTCTGCGCCTTGTGGCAGAGCTGAGCGAAGCAGGAGCTGAGCGCCGTCATCTTCTGGCGGCCCTCGTACATGATCTCGGACTGGTCGGGGTCCACCTCGCCCAGCAGCAGGTCCACGTCCACGAAGGCCTTGTCGAACTCCTTCTCCAGCACCTCCAGCCAGCGGAACATGGACGGGCTGCCCGCCGGGTGCTGGTGCTGGTGAGGCGAGGAAGGCGAGCCCGAGGCGGCGCAAGCCGAGGCCATTGCGGTGCGGTGCGCGGTGTGCGTGGCGGCGGGTGGCGGGGCCGCGCGCGCGCGCTCTCTCTCTCTCGCTCTCTCTCGGCTCCGGTCGTCAAGGCCTCGGCGCTCGGCTCCTCTTGTCTGCCACAACTGTAAAATCGCAGCGCGGCCAATCGAAAGCAGGAACTGTCGAGCGGTTCCCATGGAAACGGGCCGGTGTTACGTCATAGACTCGGCCAGCTGCCCCGCCCCTCGCCCCTCGCCCCGCCCCCCCCCGCTCCCCGCCCCGCCCCCTCCCCAAAGACACACTCCATCCTCCTTCCCACACCCTGGAGTTTTTTTTTGTTGCCAATGCAACTGAAATGAAACTCAGCTCACTTCCTGCAAGGTCCGGCAGTAATAATAATAATCACCGTTGCATTCGATTCAGCGCCTCACCACGTCTTTTGAGACGCCCCGAAGCGCTTCACAGATTATACCGTAAAGTGTATGTTTGCGTATGTTTTGTGGGCGAAACGCGGCAGCCGATTGCGCACAGCGGTGTCCCACAAACAGTCTGGATTGCACGACCAAGTTATTAGTACATATGTATGTATGTGTGTGTGTATGTATGTATGTAGCCTTTTACAATATCAAGTTAGCATTGATTCTTTGACTGCATAGTCTCTCTGTTACACCCAGTTTGTCTGCAAAATACAGTCACTGCACTTAATAGTAAGTCCTGTGAAATGCTTTAAGATGACCTCCCATCATGAAATATCAGATGGAAGGATTATTATTATTATACTTTCCTGTGACGTGCTTTGGGACATTTGGAAGTTTAGGCGCTAAATCAAGGATTATTATTATAAATTAAGTTCCACAATAATTTAAAAGAACCCAAAACATAAAACAGGAAAGCTAATTGTCAAATCTCTTTAACAAACACAATTAAGGTTGCATATGTAAGTTGACAGTTAAGAGCAACCACTGCATGATGGAAAACCATGGGTAAGAAAATGAGACACAGGACAGAGGCATAATCATTTTAACTGCTCCAAGCAAGAACAGTCTCTGGGTTTGTAAACTCATTAAAACTAATTACTTAGAGAGTTGATTATTATATACTGTAATACAAGTAGCTATGTAACTTTTAAAATATACCAAATTTAGGGTGGAAATCTTGCATTCATTTATGCTTGGCATTCAAATTGCTAAAAATAGTTAAGCCAGGTGATGTGCGAGAGCAATTGTTTTCCATTACGGAAAGATAATTAACTACTCAAAAGCAGTTGCACAATAAACTAATTATTATTTCATATGGGTTACTGTATAGTAGCCCTCCATGACCTCGCCCCACCCTACCTCTGTGACCTCCTAACCCCCTACCAACATGCCCGTTCCTTCTGCTCAGCCGGCTCCAGGCTGCTCCATGTCCCCCGACCCACCTGCCCCACCATTGGTGGGTGAGCCTTCAGTCACTCTGCCCCCAACCTCTGGAACTCCATCCCCCAGTCACTCCGCCTCACCCCCTCCTTAGCCTCCTTCAAGTCCCGCCTCAAGCCATTGGCCACCTCGCTTCCCCTCCCCTCCCTTTCCCCCCAACCCCAGCTCGGGTCTGAAATGCTGTACACTGTCCAGCGCCTTGGGATGTCCTCCCGATGCGAAAGGCTCTATACAAATATAATCTTGTTGTTGTTGTTTTCAATATTTTATAGACATGCATTGTATCTATGTCACAACAATAGTGCAACATTGAATTGATATGTTTTTAGCCAGATTGAATATCTAAAAGTTATTACATTGTTTTGGAATAACAATAATTATTGTACATATATTATATCAGAAAGACGTCTTAAAGCTAAACACAGAGCCACCTGGGAGCCTGAACAACCCATCAATCCACAACTGTATGCGAGACATTGCTGTGGGCAATTGGCTACCCCATTTCGCCTTAAAAAAATATACAGTCAATTCACTTTACAGTATATTCTGTAAAGCGCTTTGAGATGTGATAATGCGCTATATCAAATGCAAGGATTATTATTGTTTACTTGAGCAATCAATGAGAAAATAGACAGAAATTTTTAATTTGCTGTCTTTGGCACTGCTTCCAAGATGGGGAGACAAACTGTTCACCTCTCTGGAGGAACCACTTTTATCTTTAGTAGCTGAAATATCAATACAATCCATCTCATTTATTTCAAGGTCCTACGGGAGTCACTTGGAGCATCTATTTAGGTTCTTAGTTCAAATCTATTGTCTGTTTGTGTAATTATTTACTTAGAGAGTTGATTATTATATTGTACTTTAATACAAGTAGCTATTGGTACCTTTTGCCTGACATAAAGTAAAAAAAACAGCACCTGACATTATTTTTAGCAAATCAGGCTTATGTTTTAAAATCTCAATATAAATTAAAATAAATATGTTTTAAAATATCAATATTATGTTTTAACATATAAATATAACGCCCCGTCCTTCAGATGAGATGTTAAACCAAGTTCTCTTCTACCTGTTCAGGTGGATGTTAATGGCACTATTCGAAACAAGAAGGGAGTTTCTCCCGGTGTCCTGACCAATAATCCCCAAAATAATTTTGGTCACTCACTCCATGTTTGTGGGACGTCACTGTGCACAACTGGCTGCCGCGCTTCGCTCACAAAATACACAGCCAATCCACTATAGTATATCCTGTGAAGCACATTGAGACGACTCAGGAATGCGATAAGACACTATATCAAATGCAAAGATTATTTATTACTAAAAGAGAAGTTATTATTTCTGTGCTTCCAGTCGCTTTGCCCCAAATCTCTGGAATACTCCGCCTCAGTCTCTCTGTCCTGCTCTCTTCTTCGCCCATCTTTAAATCACGCCTGAAGACGTCCCTCTTCGGTCGCTCCCTCGCCCTCTCCAGCCTGGGGGGGAGGGGGGGGGTCAAACCACATAGCGGTTAAGATCTCTGAAATGCTACGGGCGATGAAGGAGTCTTTGTAAATGCAATGCTTTTCAGGGACCAACACCATCCGAATGTCACTGTCGGACCCGCTCCTGGAAGAACAAAACCAGTGGCAGCGCCTCCTTCCCCCATCAGTCAGATATTACAAGAACAAATGACGATTCTTCCAGCAACACCATTAAACCTGGCAGTCTGGCTGTGTGTGGGGGGGTATACATATATTATATTATATTAAGAAAAAAACGACTTTTATTACAATTTTATTACAATTTTATTACAAATCAGTTTTGCAACAAACTGGATCCTTCTTCTTGTGTTTTACTGAAGCAGCGACAGAGATGAAGAAACTCTGCAGAGATGAAGCTCAGCTCCTGCACTGGGACCACACACACACACACACACACTGGAACATGGTCCTCCACTGTGAGGAGAGCCACTGTTCCCTGTTTGTTCACAGCCCTCTCACTCCACTCCACTCCCTCACTCCCTCTCTCTCTCTCTGTGATCAGCCGTTCGTCTAAAGGACTATTAAGCAACAAAAGTGGAAAAGATGAAGGGGGCACCCGGATTTGAACCGGGGACCTCTTGATCTGCAGTCAAATGCTCTGCCACTGAGCTATACCCCCGCCGCTGTACAGCCAGCGCAGAACCGGCCGGTATATACCTCCCCCAGCGGTGACTGCCGGCCACTGCCACCAGCCAGTGAGCAGAGCAGTGAGCAGTGGCCTGGCCTGGCCTGGCCTGGCTGGTGGACCTGGTTGTCTCAGGGCTTTCACTGCTCTCTCTCTCTGGCTCTGGCTCTGGCTCTCTCTGGCGGCTCTCGCTGACCAGCCTCTGAAGATGGTGCCACACTGTGCTGCACAGGCCAATCAACGCGAGGCCGCCCCGGCTCCAGCCCAGACAGCCGTGTCGCCCGCCTCCTTCACCGGCTGCTTTACGGTCACACTGTCATCATAACAACAACGATAATAATCCTTGCATTCGACGCAGCGCCTTAGCGCGTCGTTGAGACGTCTCAGAGCGCTTCACAGGATGTACCGTCAAAGTGAATTGACTGTATATTTCAGGTTGTGCCATTACAATAGTTAATAAGTCTTACGAGATAGTTAGTGCCCTTCACATCAGGACGATGACTCAAATTGCTTTCCCGGGTTACACGGTAACTATTTTTTGCAGTTACTTGAGGAGTAGATTATTCCACTATTTATTCAAGTTAGTTATTGCTATTTTGTGCATAAATTGGCGCCTGTCAATACAATGCAATTTATCTTTATAGAGCACCTTGTGTCTCGAATGCTTGAATCAACGCGAACGGACGGTAGCAACTGAGCATCAGTAAGTTGCAGCTGCAACGAATGCTTATTAACAACAGCAAACCAGGGACAGAGAGTTCACAAGAGTTTGCAGACAGCAATTGGAATTAAATCAGGTAACCTATTCCAAAAACCAATAGATATACAGTGCATGTCCCACTGCAGCAGATTCACTTCAAAAATCGTCTTAAATACACATTTTAATATTTCTCTTAATTGTCTTCATTAAAGTATAATTATTTATATTTGTATATAACTATTCCAATTATGCCCGTCAGGTAATTCCCGATATTTCTTAATAAATGACAGGATGGACCGAATGGCTCTCTTTGTGGTAAATTTCTATTTAAAAAAATTACATTTCTATGCTGTTTGCACCATTGCATTCATCTACACATTCAACTCCAGATAACCCTGTAAGCTCATGGCCTGAAGGATTGAGTGGTCTTAATAATTAACAGTGCCTCAAACAACAACACTCACTTATATAGAGTCTTTCAGGTAGGAGAATGTCTGAAGTCTTACTGCTTATGCTTTTGTTCATCATTCCCCTCCCCAAAGTCCTTAGCTCCCTCCCCACCAAGGCTTTTGATACCCCTTCCTAACGTGCCACTATATAGAGGAAAATTATATAATTCCAGCGACTTAGACAATTACATAACATCTTTGTTCTGGATTGCTAGAATATTTTCTAAATGGGGAGAAACCAAGAGCAATGGAGGAGCAAAGGGATTTGGGTGTCCATGTACGCAAATCATTAAAACCAGCTCACAGGTGCAAAATGTTATCAAAAAAAGCTAGTGGGATGTTGGCCTTTATCTCAAGGGGCTGGAATATAAAGGTGAGGAAATGATGCTTCAACTATATAGAGTCTTGGTCAGACCCCATCTGGAGATTGCGTTCAGTTTTGGGCACTGCACCTCAGGAAGGATATATTAGCTCTGGAGGGGGTGCAGCTCAGGTTCACCAGAATTATACGAGGGCTAAAAGGGTTAAATTATGAGGACATTCTGCATAAACTTGGTCTCTATTTCATTGAGTTTAGAAGGTTGAGGGGTGACCTGATTGAGGTTTTTAAAATAAAATCTACAGGATAGATATAGAGAAGCTATTTCCTCTGTTGGGGGAATCCAGAACAAGAAACTCGACCATTTAGGAAACAAATCAGGAGGCAGGATTTCACCCAAAGGGGAGTGGAAATCTGGAACTCTCTCCACCAAAAAGCTGCGGCTGCTGGATCCATTCACATTTTCACAACGGAAATAGATAGATATTTGTTAGGTCAAGACACGGGGCAAGAGCGGTGAACTGGAGTTGAGGTACAGATCAGCCATGATCTTATAGAATGGCAGAACAGGCTCGAGGGGCTGAATGGCCTACTCCTGTTTCTATGTTCTATGTTTCTATGATTGGATTGTTCCGGAACAGTTGTACATCATTCCTGATATTCATTAATAAATGTATAAACAAATACTGTACTCTAATATATATGGAGTTATTGCAAGTTACTGTCTTATTCCAACTTAAACTGCTCACAATTTAACAATAAACTATGAAATACTGTTACAACATTGTAGGATTCTATGGTTTAACCAGTTTATTGCTGCTTAAAAAAAATAGCCTTTTGACACACCTATGGCCGGCCACACTAACCCCCGCCTCCCCGCTTCCTTGTCGTCCATGCCATCCAAAACTATCACTGTGAAGCACTCCGAGACATTATCCCATATGAAGGGCACAATATTCAATTTGTTGAATACTGGCACATATCTCTGGATTAGCCTCTATCTAAAAACTAGAGAGTTTCAAAGGATTAGAATTTAGTTTTAGAACAAACAGCTTATTTAATCGCTCTCCTATCCCCACCCTCCCAGCTCTTCACCCCCACCGCCCCCTCCTACACCCCTCCTGATGCATCTACGTTTTTATTATTATTAGAATAGATAAAGACGGAATGTCCGTCTGTGCGTTAGTGTTGGGGGGAATCTCCTATCATTGATGAGCTCTACTAAAAAATGCTCAAAATATGAGGTATGTGTCGTATTCTGCAACTACGTAGTGACAGAGGAAAGCACACACCATTCAGAGATATATATCTATATTCTGCAACAAATATCTATATTCCTCCCATGTGGGGCAGACAGAGAGAGGAACTAAGAGAAAGAGACTGAGATAGTGAGAGAGACTGAGAGAGAGACAGAGAGAGAGACTGGGAGAGACAGAGAGAGATTATATTATAAAGTGTAGTGACTGTGTTTTGTGGGAGAGACAGAGAGAGAGACTGCGAGAGAGACTGGGAGAGAATATATTATAAGGTGTAGCGACTGTGTATTTTGTGGGAGAGTCAGAGAGACTGAGAGTGAGAGGAGAGAGAAAAAAACAGAGAGACTGTGAGAGAAAATATATTAAAGGAGTCCTCCCACTGGAATCCTCCCACAGGAGTCCTCCCAGCTGAGTATAGATGAAGACAAAATGTCTGTCTGTGTGTCAATCTACATACTATATTGGATCCTTTGGTTGCACGTGAAGCTGCAATGTAAAGTATATGTACTTTACCTATGGTCACCTCCCCTTTCTCCAGTGTTAAGTGCTCTAAAGCAGTACCCCACGCGAAGGCTGCTATATAAATGCAAGTTGTTGTTGTTAAAGAAATCTCCAGAATAAATTCTTGCATCCCACAAAAAAGTAATTTGATGCTGAACGAGTCATTTGTTTCCTCCTCTGTGACGACCGTGACTGGTCTTTTCTTCTTTCTCAAACACATACTCAAGGATTCATATTATACTCAAGATACAGGCACACACATGGGCACGCACGCACACCTTTACAGATTTGGGATTCTCTGATGTTAAGAAGTACATGTTTTATCCTCTATGTTCACTTAACTCTCACAAGATACTGATGTGTTTCGTTGCCTCTTGCATTAGCAAACCTGTGGTAGCTTGTACTATAGAGAAAACCCAATTACCTGTACTTATTGCCCGTTGATAGTGGTTTTGCATAAGGTGATGTGCTACTGCCCCCTCCTGGTATTTATAAGCTTAGAACATAAATCATCCAGATTTTCTAAATACTGTAATTATAATTTTATATTATTATTTGTATCATGGTAAAATACCGGCCAAAATAACATGGTAAAATTAAATCACAAAACTAATATTCCTCATTGTCTTGCTTCATGAAAAATAACAACCCTTGAAGCCTTTGTTACAAGACCTGTGAATGAAATAATTTCAATACCACTTACACACTCCTTCAACACAATAGCAAAACGTATCTAATAAATACTCACTAGTTATTCCAAGCTCTCACGGAGGAGATTATTCAGAACTGTGCAGCTCATGTCCTCTCACGCACCAGGCTCCGGGAACCTACCAGCCCTGTTCTTGCTCATTTTACTGGCTCCCCATTCCTCAGAGAATCGAGTACAAAACTCACGTTCTTACCTTCATGGTCTTGCTCCCTCTTACCTCTCCAACCTCATAACCCCATATCAGCCTGTCCGCTCCCTCTGCTCGACGGACACCGGCCTGCTTCAGGTCTCCCATACTTCCAGCCCCACCATTGGCAGTTGGGGTTTCAGCATCTCTGCCCCCACACTCTGGAACTCTATCCTGCAAACCCTCTACCTCACCCCCTCCCTTGTCTCCTTCAAGATCCATCTGAAGACCTTCCTCTTTGATCGTGCCTTCCGCCACCCTCCTATCCCCACCCAGCTTTGGTCCAAAACCCCTGATTGTCCAACACGCTGGGATGTCTTTCCGATGTGGAGGGTGCTATACAAATGTGATTTGTTGTTGTTCTTGTTGTTGTTATACCAAATGAAAGGCTTATTATTATTAACTTCCAGTTGTTATTTTTGTGGTCAATAATAATGTCTTTTATTTGATATAATAATTATCCTTACATTTGGTATAGCACCTTTTATGTCAGGAGAATGTCTTAAAGTACTTCACAGGGATTATATTGTCAAGTGTCGTGACTGTGTATTTGTAGAGGAAGGTCAATTTTTGAGCAACATTGGCCCACAAACAGGCAATGATCAATTTTATTTGAGTAATTGTTGGCTAAGAGATACTCTCTTCTCTTTTCAAATAAGTGGCATGGTATCTTTAAAGTTTACCCGAAGATGCAAAGACAAGACCTTAATTTAACATTTCATCTCATCTACAACAAACAGCAACTCCAGCACCAATTTGAAGTGTCATCTTTGACTGCATGAGTTCAAAGCCCCGATATGGGGCATGAACCTACAAACGTCTGGCTCAAGGCAAGAGTGCTACCAGTGATCAGTCAACCTGACACACATATAACACTTTTCAGGTCAGGAAGATGTCTCAAGGCATTTCATAGGATTTTCAGTAAAGTGTAGTGATTGGGTATTTTGTACTTTGACTGAATGATAACAGTTAATAACTGGGAATCAATGTAACTACCGTATACATCGAAAAGCCTAAAAAAAGTTGTATGCAGGTTGTTATTCTTCAATTACCTGTCATAATATAAGTGGTGATCAGTATAAGTGGTGATCAATATCAATGTAATCGGGGTTGATGTTGATACTGAAATGTAAATATAAACTTCAATACAGGCAGGAGTGGGAGCTGAGTTTTTTATTCTATCCTACAGGAAAGAAAAAGGTGAGCCACAAAAGTAACTTTTTTTTCCAATATAACTGGAGAACTCACTCCCTGGTAAATATATATATATTATATATATAATTTTAAAAAGTATGAGTTTATAAATTCTGCAATGAGCTCTTGTAACACAAATAAAACATCTTCTTTAACTGGTTATAAAAGCTGATTATACTGCCTAAAAAAACACACTCGATAGTGTTGCCCATCCCAGTTATTACACATCTGGTTTATGGTCATCATTGGGTGTTTTTTTTCCCCCCCAAATAATAAAAGAATGGATTGCAAAGACTGTGGTTTGGAATCCGTCCTCACTGCAATATTTTAATGCGGTCGGAGGAAAGAGAATGGATACTTTTATCTTCAAAATGCATTCACTCTGCCAGATCTGAAAGCCAAGCTGGGGAGCTCACCTGGAGAGCCCAGACACCTGTGGCAACAAATGTTATTGGGCTTTTGTTTGCATCGGGGGGTCAGAAAGGCCAGGCCCCCGGGGGGCTGGAATGCAATATGATTGTAACTCCACAAAGTAGATGTTATCTCAACGCTGCAGCAAAAACAGACAGACCAGAGAGCAGGGAAATGAAAACCACACGGAATTCTGCTGTTTGCTGATGGAAAACTTCACACAATAGACAACTGAGGAATATGGGGACAATGATTCTTCCCGCATTGTGTGCCTTTGCAAATATCAGGGTAATATACTATTATCAGGCGCGCCGAGTGTTTTTCATTCGAAACAAATCGATTGCTGACTTGTTTTTTTCTCTCTCTCGCCTGATAACACGGTTGGGGCTGGTTTTCTTTTGATCGATGTTGTCGGTCGGTCGGTCTGTTTCCAGGCACCACAGCATTTAAAAAGGGGGAAACAGCGCGTCGTGCAGCAGCGGATCGAGGTTCCCTCCCGGATTAGGGGGCGCAGAGCTGCTGCAGCCTCTCATACCGCCGTCGGTGTGGCTTCTCCGCGGTGTTTGTTTGTCTGTATGTACGTATGTGGCCGTTGTGTAAATGCTCACGAAGATGCTCGTCTTACTCTGTGCGCTTTCCGCGGTGACCTGCCTGAGCCTGTGCCTGGGCGATTGCCCTAAAAGGTGCGTCTGTGACTCTTCCAAAGAGGTGCAATGCTACAGGATCACATCTGTTCCCAGAGCCATCCCGCGGGATACCAGGAAAGTTCATCTTGGACGCAATAACATCAAGCAACTGCGGGTGAGAGGAACTGGCGCCGATGCACTCCCGACAGCATCACCTTGTTGTAATGTGTTTGCGTTGATCTGGTTAGTCAGCGAGTTGGTTGGTTAGTGTGTGGTTTCGCTGATTTAGATCGGGATCCTTGTCTTGCGATGGTTTGTTTTCTGTCGTCAACGTGTGGCATCGACTTGGTGCATTTTTATGCTTTGCATTCTTGCCTCTTGTTTATTTGCTAACACACTCGGGACTAAAAATCCAGGTATTCCGGGGTTAAACCCTCGAAAAACGTGCAAAATGATTTGGCGACGCTGCACATCAACTGCGCTCAGCAGCAAAGCAAATCGACGAATGGATTTCATTCAACGAAAAGATCTATCCATCTGTCGTTCTCTCAAGTGTTATTAACGACTATTAAAGTGGAGCGATGTCTTACATCATTTCACTACGTTTTTTTTAAAAAATTCGGAAGCAATTTACACGCTCATTTTAAAAAAAAACACACCACATATTTTGGGGAAGCGAGTGATCCACTTAAAAAAAAAGGTTCAATACTAATGTCTCCAGATCGCTTGGTCGGGATATGTGGCAGATGTTACACTTTACGGAGATTTGCAGTTTCCAGTTGGCGGATTTTACAGATTTTCGTTGAATGCCAATTCCATTTGCCTTCTGTTTGAACAGCAAAACACGAGCAAAACTGTCCTCACTCCATACACGATTATAATCTCACTTGATGAAAAGACGCAACAAACTAAACATGAAGTGAGTGGAGGAAGTAGAGGTGCAACAGGACTCTCAGGTGTATATTTCCCCCAAAATTACGTGCAAAAGAATTGCACAGTGAGCTGGAATCCATCCACTGATAAGTGCTTAACCCAATTCCCATTTAATTTATACCAGAACAAACAACGACTGTCGAGTTGCATAAAGGTTAAAACATCTCAAATATCAACGCTAAATATTTAGTGTTGGAAAACTAACTGTCAGCAACGTTTCGTTCTCCAACACTAAAAATCAATTGCAATATTTAAATATATAAGTGCATAAGTGCATTGATACAATGTCTACAGATAGTATTGTTACATGCATTACAATGTACAACATTTACATTTTTGTAAATTGCCTTTCAAGTCGAGAAGACATCCCAATCCCAAAGCGCTTAAACACATCGATTGACGGTGGACTATTTTTTCCTACAGGAAAGTATATTTCGCCCACAAAAATAAAAGAGTTAATTCACTTTACAGTATATTCTGTAAAGCGCTTTGAGACGCACTTGAAGACGTGATAAGGCGCTACATCAAATTCGAGGATTATGATTATTATTTACAATTATTATTTATAATAATAAGTTATTATCATAAATATATTTTCGATAACGTAGTACATTTATTATATTGACGGGATGTGCAATGCTGTGTTTATGGCAACTGAACAGGTTTTCTTCTAAGGTCTTCCTGAAGTTTGATTTTTGCATCAAGTGATTTTCCATCAGTTTCCATCAGGAGAGAAAACGCCAGGAACCACTATTTCTCCCTTCCCACCGGGTCTGTGCTGGGTGGCTGGTTTGTTCAGTTTGCTTTGACCCACACATCCAGCAAAACATTTACAATTAATGAGTTCAAAGGTGCAGCCAACACATCGGACCTTCTTTTTTTACCCGAACAAATAACCAACATGATGCTGGAAATACGATTACACCTCAAATAAACCGATACTCACTTGCATATCCCTAAATCGGGATGCACACAATGCAATTGGTTGTTGTTGTATATAAAGGAACACCTGTATTGGATGTATTGCAGTCTGTCGTTTGCTCTAATAGAACAGTTGCTTTATGTAGTGACTTGGTCGTTTTTGTACTTGAAAGCAATTGTAGTTAGTAGGACACTTTTATACCCGGCCTTTGTGAGGACACTTCCGTGTGTTTTTCATTTTCTTTTATTTTCCATGATCTCTCCAGTCCATTGCAAACAAAGTGGAGATGCTCCCAGGCTTCTTCCTATAGCTGGGGGCGGAGGAGACAAGAACATGACATAAATAAGTCTATCAGATTTTCTCTTGCTCCTGGTGCAGAACCAGCTGACTATACAGGACCAGCTCACAGTCACCATCATTTCATTCGCTGCTCTCAGTGTAGAGCAGCACCTCTGACCAGCACCCTATGTGGTATGTGGGGAGCTGGGGGAGAGCTTGTCTCCATTTGCAGCTCCAGCATCCTTCCAAACAACTGTCCATTCGTGATCCTTATGTGTTGGAAATCACTGTCCCGGCAATGGACAGTGTTAAAGTAATAAATCTGGTTGTCAGCTCGTTAAATTAACTTCATACTGCATATTTCTTGTTATCTTACTGCAGTAAAAATAGCACAAATTGAAGTTGAGCCCACTTGAGCTCATTTGTTGAGATGCTAAACGTTTATTCACCAGGACATCAATTCCTGCCACTGCTGCGTGAATGTGAATCGATTCGATCTCTGATGAAAAGGGACCATTGTCCATGTTATGTATTTGTTTAATAAAGCTATTACCAGCACACGAATTACACTGGTTAGAGGAGCCCTGTGCTGGATATGCACAGAACTATCCCCAGCTCCTGACAAAAGAGAATTGGGAGCAGGAAATAGGACAATGTTACATTGCTTCCAGTAGTATTTATAGAGCAACCATTACGTGTCTGAAGTATTCGTGAGAAACAGATGAAGTGGATTATGAAGGCATGTCAAATTAACTTTTTTTAAAAAAGCAGAGATGACAATAATACAATTTGTACTGCACTCGGCAATGCTGGTGTTATTTTATATATTTTTACATTAGTTTGATAAATATATCAATGTTTCCTATTTGAAATTCCCTTTTATTTTTAAGTTGTGTGAAATTAATTTAATAGGTCAATTCTTACACTCTTATTTGTGTACAAGTAATAATTCTTGCACAAAATAATAATAAATTGGTCACTCAATCCACGAATGTTTGTGGGACACTGCTGTGCGCAATTGGCTGCTGCATTTCACCTACAAAATATACAGTCAATTTACTTTACAGTCTATTCCGTGAAGTGCTTTGAGATGTCTTGAAGACAAGGTAAGGCACTATATCAAATCAAGGATTATTATTATTACAAGTAGACCCACAGACCAGTTTAAAACTTTGTGAGTAGAAAACAATGTTGGTAATCTTTGTACAGAGTAAATATTGTGCAACGAAATTGTACTTCAATTACTTTGTATGGATGTTTTATAGGTTTCAGATTTCAACGGGCTCACCAGGCTTGAGGATCTTGTGTTGGTTTCATGTGGAGTGGAAGTGGCAGAAGCTAACACATTTACAACCCTGAAGAATCTGAGAACACTGGAGCTATGGAAGAACAAATTGAGGAATGTTCCTGGCAAGTTCCCCTCAAACTTGGAAGTGTTAAAACTGGGTAATAACAGAATTCAGAATATACGGGAGACTGACTTTGAAGGATTAACAAAACTTAAGGTCCTGGAACTTCAGAACAATAGGATCTCTGCCATCCACACCGGTGTTTTATCATCTATTTATAGGCTGGAAAGTCTTGTCTTGGACGGTAACGGTCTTGAAATATTAATAGGTCCACTAAAGCTTGCTCACCTGAAACGTTTAAGCATTCAGAACAACAAATTGTCTTCTCTGCCTTCAAACTTCTTCAGTTTCTTACCATCGTTGCTTTTCCTCAGTTTATCGGGGAACGCATTTCGAAAGGTCCCACAAGAAATGCCACCATCATTGTGGTCTTTAAAACTGGACAGAAATATGATCAGAGTATTACGGATTCAAGACATGAACTATCTCAGTCATCTCTCTGAGCTCTCCCTTTCCGAAAATAGACTTTCTGCAGCAAATGAGGCTCTGGCATTGACAAATTTATCCATAGTAGACCTGTCAAAAAACCATCTGAAATCAGTGCCCACCAGGTTCCCGTCACAGCTTCGGACATTAGATTGCAGCCACAACTTTATCCAAAAACTTACACTGAAGGAATTCACTGGACTGTGCGAGCTGAAACATCTGTTCCTAGAATACAACAACATCACTTTTATTGATCCAGATGCACTGCAGCACTGTCTGCATCTTTCAGATTTGGCACTGGAGCAGAATCATTTGTCGTTCTTCCCAAATGGGTACGTTACTTCATTAATGGGGTAGGGGGGAGGGAGGGAGGGAGGGAGAGTGTATGGGTTGAAAAACTTTCTTTTTGTGCTTTTTCACATTCAAAGCATAAGTTGTCTTTCATACTCATGACTGGAACAAAATCTATATGTAACCTAAAAATATAGCATATCTATTTCTGTAAGTATACAAGAATGGATTCAAAATTCTCAGAAGTCATAACTACACTAAACATATGAGAAAAATATTATGAAACAATGTACATTTTTTATTTACAGATATCTCTAGGGATTGGTTATCAACCTTTTCTCAGAGTGAATCCATTTCTTAGGGAATAGTCTGCTGGGACTATAAATCAGGGTACATTTCCTCATAACCATGAACTGATCCCTAACCATCCTCCCAAACCCACATGTTGATCAGAGATCTTATTTTTTTCTTCTTTAGAAAAATGAAATGATAGGTCTTCTGTATAGTATAATGCCCACAAACACAGTTTAAACTATCTTTGACTTTAAACATTAACAATGGATTATCAACAAAAGTTGATGGGAACGCTCAGCAGGTCAGGCAGCATCTATGGAGAAAGGTAAGTGAGTCAGAACTCAATGGATTATCAATAACTTCAGGTAGTGCTATCAAGATTGGTTAATTTGTAGTTGGTAGAGGTAAAGGTTGGAAGACAAAAAAATGCCTTATTTACAAATCCAATAGGCATTTTTCCCAACATGATACAAAAATGATATTTATCAGTATTTATTTTTATAGAATCATAAAATGTTACAGCACAGAAAGAGGCTAATCGACCACCACACTTTAAGGCAGTGCATTAATATTTTAGTTAAATTTTATAACAGTAATTATTTTTATCTGAATACTGCAACTAAATGGTTATATTTATAGATGCATATTACCATTATTGTATGTTGTTTCTTCAGACTTCCAGACACTCTTATAAGGCTAGATCTGAAAGGAAATAATATCAAAATCATTTGCAAAGAGACAGTTGAAAAACTGAAGCGGCTGCAAGTTCTGAATCTACGTAACAACAGGTTGTCATCTCTCAACCCGGATTTACTTGGATACCTCCCCCGCCTCAAACGGCTTTACCTGGATGGAAACCCCTGGAACTGTACATGTGACCTCATGGAAACGCGAATGTTTCTGACGGCAAGATATCTGGATATCAGAAGCGGTCACTGTGCCACCCCAGTCCATTATCGGGGTGAAACCTGGATTTCTTCTATCAAGGTTCTGAACAGTTGTGGACACAATTCTAAAAGTGGCTCAAAAGGAAAAGCAATTCTTCCAAATGACGCAAAGAAAGCACAAAATAATGATAGCCTGAATACCAACAGCCAAACTGACAATGAGGAATATTATGACTACGATACAGATTAAGAATCAGTGACCAACATCTTAATTGCTTAACACTTCTAATTGCACGTGGATGTGAACCTATAACCAATGGGCTAATCTAAATTGAAATTTACTTTTTAAGTGTAATTTAATTTTAAATTCTGCAAATAGTCACCAATTGTTAGTGGAAGCTCGGTTTACACTATGAATCCCTTGAAATAGACAGTTGCAATTTAGCGCGTGTGTACCATAATTTCCTTTACTATTCAATTGCAATTCAAACAGATTTTTGGGATGATTTACTTTGTCATTGGATGGATCAGAAACATTTGCATAAGCATGGACCCACTTTTGAGTTGGAAGCCTTGAATTAACATTATTTTTGTTTGACCTTTATGAAAGGATAACATCATAATCTGAGTGTATGTTTAAGAAATTTGTGATACCAGGCACAATATGTTTTAGTAAAACGTGATCTTAACAGGAACATATATTCAAATTGATAATAATGATAATTTTTGTGAAACTGCAAAATTTAAAGAATTTAAAATGCATGAAAACCACATACTTAGTTTTTACACAAGTATTAGCACGCTTTAGTTTAATTCTGTTTCCATATATCTTTTTAAAGTTTTAGAATTATATTTCTCTTTCTCTAGTTTTACTCATCAGAATACTAATCTTGATTGTAATTACAGGGAAAAGTAAGTCCTAACGTGTTATGGGAACACTGTTTTACTTTTTTAAATTCTGATGTGGAATAAAGATTTTTACTAAAATATTGCTTGTTATATTCATCTTGAATTAAAATAAAAGTGATAGTAGTTCCTTGGGGGAAAAAAATCCAGCATGGAAGGAACTGGCAAACAAATAAAAATACAGCTCAAATATATAACTTATGTAATGCCCTCAGAGAAATGAGTGTTTGACTCCTAATATACATTTGAATAAACAAAATATTCCCAGTAATTCAAATGTCTAATAAATCAGAGAACTTTAGATATTTTACATTATGATGGACCCATAATTCAGAGTTGCCTGTATAAGATACTACATCTGTTACAGGAGAAACATATTTTTTAATGTGTTAATCCTTTTTTTTACCTTTACTGTTTCTTGATTTTCCTACCCATGTATCATACCCCCCCCCCCCCCCCCCCATATGTTACTTCATGGAAGTCTGCATGTAACTGACTGCCAGATATTTGGATATCAGAAGCAGTCACTGTACAACCCTTGTTCATTATCAGGGTAAAACTGGGCAGATGTCTGCCAAGGTTTGAACAGTTGTGGACATAATTCTAAAAGTGATAAGCAATTGTTCTAAATAGTGCAAAGAAAGCATAAAATAATGATAGCCAAAATACCAACAACCAGACTGACAGTGATGATTATTAGGACTATGATAAAGATTAGTAACAACCAAAATTCCAATTGCTTGAAAATTGTAATTGCATTTGTGATGTGATCCATGCCCAATGGATGAAAGTAAACTGAGATTTACTTTTCAAAAGTTTATGTTCAGGCTTTCAGGTTGCCTTCTTTCCCAGGCTTTTCCCATTGCTGATGTCTGTCCAGCTGCTGGGACGTGTGGTCAGCCCCCAGCTGTGACCATATGACTGACCTCTATTGGGCACTCGGCATGGCAGAGCTAAGGAACACAATGGGAAGAAAATTACTGATTAATCACATGAATGCTTTGCAACTGGCTCACATAGAAATTTACAAAGCAAATAACACTTGTTTCAAAGTAAGGCAAACAATTGTGGTTTCAAAGTAAACAAAGTGGTGAGCACTAAAAAGGAAGAACACTTACCGAGAGGCCATGCTCCCACCTCGTGGGCAATAGTCTAGAGTAGACTGACATTGGTTTTGAATCAGCATGTAGATTTTGAATTGTTTTACTGTACCCATTCACATTTATTCGATTCTGATATCCAACTCAGAAATGGGGCTTAAATCCAACAGATGGGGTTTGATGCAGAAACCAAATTGAGCCTAGAAGTGCGGTATAGTCCAATCTTGTTAAAAGGTGATATCATGAGTGTGTTTACAATGTGGGTAGGCTGTGAGCTCATACTACACCAAAAGTGTTTTCATCAATTGACATTAACTGGCCAGCTAACTTACCCTTGTGGTCAGTGCGCAGCAAGACAATCAGTCAAAACTGGAATTGATATCAGCAATAAAGTGACAACTCAGAAGTGGGATTACCATTTTTATTTTTATTCCAAACACCTATTATAACGTGGGGTCAAAATTTTGTTATAATCGGTTGAAACTGTATAACAGGGATAATACTCCACATTCACCAAAACTTGTCAACATGGGAGTAAGATTTATGATCAGCAAGAATCTATTTAAACAAATTGCTGATGCTTTTTTCCCCCAAAGAATAATATATATTAAAATGTTAGAATCACTAATATTAAATTCCTTCATCAGGAGTGACTGGTTGAGCTTTTCCAGGGTGTAAAACAGTTGCAACCTTTGTCACTTTTAGTGATGCAGAATGTCCTAGTACTTTCCGGATAATGACAGCACTGAAATGGATTATATTTTGAAAAGAAAAAAAAGTCATATTTCCAATGAGACGTATGTAAGATCTGAGAAAGTTCACCTACTCTTAGCTAGCAAGCAATGTTTGTGTTAAAAATTTATATTGTGTTAAATTGTGGAAAAATCTGAAATTCAGTCTTAATTTGGAAGGTAGTTTTCATTAGCCCTCAAAATTCAGGTTGTTCAGCTTCCAAATTAAGATTAAATTTAAGAATCTTCCTCGATTTCTCCTCGATCTTAAATTTGAAAACCAGATCCATTGAGCTTCATTCATAATTGGCTCCCAATCCAAACTCCATGACTTCCATCCCGTTTTCAAAACAAAATGCAGTCAATCCACTTTACAATCTATTCAAAAAAAAATGCTTTGAGACGTCCCATCAACATGATAAGGCACTATATCAAATGCAAGGATTATTATTACTATTATGAAACCTTCATCAGGAATGATAGTCACTGGTTGAGGTGGGAAATGTTCTGCTCCCAATCCAAGCTCCTACACTTTCATCCTGCTTTCAAAACCATCTTTTTCACCCCAAATTCAATCACCATCCTCCAATGGTTTCACCAATTTCCCTACCTCAGCACCCCCACTCCTTAACCCCCCATTACCCCACTCCCCTCCCTAGCGCTCCCGCCCTTAACCCCATTATCGCACTTCCCCCATTCCCCATTCCCCCACACCCGCATTCCCCCACTCCCCATTCCCCCACACCCGCATTACCCCACTCCCCATTACCCCACTCCCCATTACCCCACTCCCGCATTACCCCACTCCCCATTACCCCACTCCCCATTACCCCACCCCGCATTCCCCCACTCCCCATTCCCCCACACCCGCATTCCCCCACTCCCCATTACCCCACACCCACATTACTCCACTCCCCATTACCCCACTCCCGCATTACCCCACTCCCCATTACCCCACTCCCCATTACCCCACTCCCGCATTACCCCACTCCCGCATTACCCTGCAACCCCAACCCTCCCCTTTACCCCAACCTTCCCTGTTACCCCACTCCCTCAGCTCCCTCACTCCTTAGCCCCCCCCCCCATTTACCCCACCCACCCATGCTTCACCCAGCCAGTGTGACGTTCACGCACCGTGACGTGTCGCACAGAGACCACGTGATTCTCGATTCCCAGTCGGGGGGGCGGGGCCTGTGACGCGGGCGCACGCGGACCAATCGCCTGGCTCCATGTCTTGTGGCCGGGGTCGTGGGGTCAGAGCGAGGAGAAGATGGCGCCCGGCGTGTTGAGGAGTTGGCAGTGAGCGGCTGAGAGGAGGGAAAGTTCCGAGTCGCACTCCTCCCTCTCTCCCTCCCGCTTCAAATGAAAACCTTTCATTTTTTTGAAAAAAAAAGGGCAAAAAAAAATCGCTTCGGGTTCTTCCTCCATCTTTAACCGTCCTGAGGGGTGAATGAGTGAGTGAGTGTGAGACACATAGTGACTGGGTATTACTGTAGAGAGGGCGAGAGAGAGAGAGAGAGATTGGGGGAAACACTGACGGGGAGAGATATACAGCGAGAGAGGCAGAGAGAGGAGAGAGATTAGTCGGAAGATTGTGAGACCGATAGAAAGAGGGATATACAGTGGGAGAAACTAACGGACAGAGAAAGAATACAGTGGTGGCAGAAAGTGAAAGAGACGGGCAGAGGGTAGAAGAATAGCAGAGGAGAGGGAGAGGGACGGGATTACTATTGCTGACGGGCAGAGTGAGGGCGATAGTGAGTGCGTTAGTGAGTGTGAGCGGGAGGGAGGTTGGCAGTGTGTGGAGGGAGGCCTATGTCTCAGTGAGGCTCGGCCATGCCTGTGCTGGAGCTGCTGTGGCGGGCTCTGCACGCGCTGCTGGCGCTTCGCAGGGCTGTGGGCTCGTGGCTGCGCGGTGGAATGCGGGCCTGGGAGCGCTGGAACTCGGCCCTGGCGCTGGCGTTCCAGGGCGCGCGGAGGAACAGGCGGAGGAGCCGCGCCGCGCGCTGCCGCTCCGACTCGCGCCGCCTCAGGAAGCTGCCGCTGCACCTGGGCGTGGTGGTGGCCGACGAGGAGCCCAGCTACGCCGACATCGCCAACCTGGTCGTCTGGTGCATGGCTATGGGCATCTCCTATGTCAGTGTCTATGACAACCAAGGTAAGGAAGAGGTGGCCTTGCTACGAGGAGAGGGTGCTGTTTTGCACGTGCATGCATCGCACAGATTTATTCCCCTCTCCTGAATCCAACCTAAGGACATAAGGAATGCTTGACGAAAAAAGACCCGAGGTCCATCTACTTCACCTTCCACCTTCCTGGCGGTTGCATGCACATATTGCGCTAATTACCTATGTACTATATCCCATAATGTTATTTCCTAAAAGAAAACTAATCTGTGTTTGAAAGAATCAACACTTCCTGCTTCAACCCTCTCCCTGGGAGCCTGTTCCACAGGCTCGCTATTCGCTCACTGAAATAGTGTTTGTGTAGATTCGTTCAGAATTTACTCCCCTTCAATTGTAGGCCATGTCCTCTGGTTTTACTATTCTGGACAACTTGACATGGTCTATCACGATCTATATTGTCTTGCCCCATTGCTAACATTGTAAGGTTGTTTCATTTCCTGTCTCTACCCCTATCTGGAGGAATAATCATCATTGGCATAAGTGCCCTGTCCTTTAGTTCATTTGTGTTTTTAAGCTCTTCAGGTCTTACTTAAGTCTAGAGTTTCATGTCAGAAGATTTGCTGGACTGAATAAACTCATTGTGTCTCGGGTAGGGAGGGGTTTCTGTTAAATTTTCAAATTCATGAGTTCAGCATTGAAGTTTTGAGAGGTCTCAGTTGGGAATTTTCATGTTGGGAGGACGTCTCGAGTCACTGGGTTGACTAACAGAGAAAGATGGCTTAATGCTTAGGTGTGACTCTTCCACCTGAAATGCCACGAATGCTTATTGTTTTAGAGGGAAGATTGTAGGGCAGAGTTACAAGATTCACACCTCACCGTATTTGGTTCTAGAGCAGGATTAGTAAGGCTTGAGGGAATTTCATCATATGACTCCTAGTCTGCCATGTTCTATCAAGTTGTTTGACAGACATCAGGGCCTGGATGATCTCAGGGTTCCTGTAACTGAATGTCAGCAGGACGGAAGCCATACTCATTGGCTCCCGTCAAAGTCTTCTCTCCTGCAGGTCTGAACTCCTCAATCTCTCCAGGCTCTTCCTCAAACTCACCGAACCTGTGCGCAACTTAGAAGTCAGTTTCGATCCCCAGCTTTCCTTTCTATCCCACATCGGTATCCTGATCATGACCGCTTTTTTCCATCTCCGTCACATTGCCTGCCTCCGTCCATAGCTCACAACAAAAGCAGCCGAAACCCTCATCCACGTCTTTGTCACTTCCCAACTGGACTATTCCAATGCTCCCCCCTTCGTGGATCTCCCCAGCTCCACAATACAGAAACTCAACTAATTCAGAACTCCGCCACCCAGATTCTCACCTGCACAAAACTCCGTACACCCATCACACCAGTTCTTGCTAGGCTCCACTGGCTCCCCAATTACTGAACAGATTGGTTTCAAGATCCTCTCACTCGTTTTCAAATCCCTTCATGCCCTCGCACCTCCTTACCTATCTGCTTTGCTTACCTCCCCATTCCCCCACCCGCTGCCTCCGCTCGGCTGTCTCCGGCCTCCTGTTCGTCCCTTGTCCCCTCCTCTGCACCATTGGGGGCCGTGCATTTGATATAGCGCCTTATCACATCTTTGAGACGTCTCAAAGCACATCACAGAATATACTGTAAAGTGAATTGACTGTATATTTTGGTTTAATGTCTCATCGACAATGCACCACATTCCCAGAATTGCACTGAAGAGTCATCTTACACTAAATGAATTCCAAGGCTTGGGCACCCTATAAAATGAACGTTGGGTACTGCTAGAGTTTGACTAGGCATAACCACATAGCTTGACATTGAAAGCATTGTCTGGCAAGCTTCCTGCTACTTGTCCAGCTTGGACCAACCTATCTTTAGGACTTTGGCTTGCAGGGTTAACACAGATCTCTCCTGAAGCACATTGTTGCCCTTAGTAAGGAATCTAAAATCGAGGGAATTTGGGGATGAAAATGATGGTTCGTGGACATTCAAATTTGAAAAGAAACACCAGCTAAACATTCCTTAGATTTTTCCAAAAAATAGTATTTTTATTTCTTTGTACCTTTTAAAATTTTTGCTAGTTTGCTGAAAAGGAGACCAGAATAAGCTCCACAGATGTATGGAGCCACTTGTGTCAATTTGGAAAATGATGGATTCTGTCAGTTTTGAGGTGAAATTTAATTAAAATTGAAAACACAACATCAAGTACATTGTATTGACAGAATAATTAGAATTGGCAACCCCTACTGTTTATAAGTGAAGCTAAAATAATTTTTGAAGACGTTCTGCATTTTATGTCTGCGGAGTTCTTCTCGGAGGGATGAGCATCTGTGTGGGACTGAATTAAGGGTGAAGCATAATAATAATCTTTGCATTTGATATAGCACTTTATCATAATAATAATCCTTGCATTTGATATAGTGCTTTTCACATCTTCTGGACGTCTCAAAGCGCTTCACAGAATATACAGTAAAGTGAATTGACTATATTTTAGGGGCAAAACTCTAATATAGTAAATGGGTTGAAAAGTAGATTTATTAATGCTACACAACAATGATCTGTGTATTTATACAATGAGGGGATCTGTCCAGTGTAATCTCATGTTATTTGTTCTGAATGTTTATCTCTGTGGTAACTTGCAAAATCTACCTGTGTAACAGAAATATGAGACTTTGAAACTAGTTAAGAATGTAGAGCAGTTGTAGACTGGCCATTTTTTTTTCATTCTGCAATATGCTATTTTTCCTTATTTTGTTAAATAATGCAAATTTTCTTTCTTTGGTCAACTTTAAAAAGAATTTGCATTTCTGGAGATATACAGAAAGTTACAGCTGCTACACAACTGGAAGTTCAATCAGTAGTTTCTATAGTATACTCAGCAAAGACTAGGGGTACTTTATTAAAGGCTCCTGTTTAAATCACTGATATTTAGCCTATCTAAAAGTAATCCAGGGGAAATGTTTTGGGTGTGTTTGCAGGTTTATTTTACTTCTTTGTAGAAGTGGGTTGAAGGTAGTTTTTTATAATATACCATCTGCTTTTTTCATTTTTATAGTATTTTAAAAGCCCACTGGGAAATATTGATATCACATTCCAACTTCCTCAATCTGCTGCAGCTGAAGGTTCAATTTCAAATTCACTGACGTGTCTTGCCCTGAATAAGATGGAGCCTTGTTTCTCCCCAGCTCCACCATCTATAAACTTCCAACTTATCCAAATCTCCTATATCCTCACTTACACCAAACTCCGCACATCCATTACCCGGGTCTTCACCTGGCTCTCTCTTTCCTAGTGAATTGATTTAGCTCTCGCCTATAGTCTTTTCACAACCTAGCACCTTGGTATCTCTTCATTCGCCTGCTTTTCCAATCAGAATTAATTAATATACACTGGTCACTGTAGGCTTGCAAGTAAGGTTAGCTTCAATACAATTGTGTCAGATACTGTGTCAAAAGGGATGGCATTTCTTAATTCCTTATACCCCATAATTAAGTTTTCTTTTGGTTTCCTACCAGTGGAAATACTATATAAGCTTTTATTCCCTTGTCACAGCTGTTAGCTAATAATAGTAAGTAGGTTTGAACTGAAAGACTTCTGGCCGAGATTTCACAAATTTTGTGTTTTGAATTAAATCCGGATCACGTTACATGTAATCTGTTCTGCCTTTTTGCAACATCACTTGCCATATTTCAAGGTGTTCTATAAATGCAAATTGTTGGTTGAATTTAGTAATCATTTTGAGTCTTAGTTGGCAGCTTTGCTTCCCCGCCACAGTGTTAAGAATAATAATAATAATCCTTCCATTTGATATAACGCCTTTTCACGTCGGGAGGACGTCCCAAAGCGCTTCACAGAATATACTGTAAAGTGAATTGACTGTATATTTGTGGGCGAACGCGGCAGCTAATTGCGCACAGCAATGTCCCACAAACAGTCAAGGATTGAAAATGACCAATTTATTATTGTTTTTGGTTTTGGAGGGATTATTATTAGGCTCTGTGTGGAGTAAGGAAACTTGCCCAAAAGTTATCTATCCTCCTCAGAAAAGGAGGATAGATAACCCACTCCCGCTGCTAGCGGTAAAAGGCCAATGTGGCCTGATGTGCTCGCCATTTTACTTCTCTTAGTACAAATTTGATATCCATTCTGGTTCTTCCGTTTAGCTCCAATTATGATTGGGAATTTATGGATCGGAGCCTTTACACTCCTAACAGATGCAAAATGGCATTTGAGTTTTTCAGTGCAGATTAGAAGGACTTGACGTTGGGACTTTGTTTAAATTATTAAAGGCACTCTAACAAACTGCTGGTAGGTTCACAAGATTAGCTGCATGATTCTCCTTCACGTTTCAGTTTTACTCAGTTTGAAATCAGTCTGGTTCAGTTGTTAACACTGAGTCTGTAGGTTGTGCAATACCCATGTCAGTACATTTAGTTCATAATCTAAGATGACACTACAGGGGATCGCTGCAGCGTTGGAAGTGCAGTACTTTAGAAGAGATGTAAACTGCGATCCCACCTGCCTGATGGAGGTGGATGTTTAGTTCCATGACACTTTCCAAAAATGTAGGGAGTTTCTCCTGGTCCTGGCCAACAATCCTTCAGATAAAATTTGTTATTCATTTTATGGTTGTTTGTGCAACGATGGATGCTGTGTGCAAATTGTCTGCCTACGTTTTCTGAGTTTTCTTTAATGTGAATAACCAGAGAATTCTCTTTTCTGAGCAGTGGTGAACATCAGGAATGAGAGGATGATCAGTTAAGCCTATTTCCACACACCAAGTGAAAATGCGTTTTTGTAGACTCTACCCCCATACTCTCTGATTTCCAACCCCTCCAAATAATTAACCAAACAAGAAGTCCAAAACATTTCCATCCCCACCCTTCTTTCTCGCTTGCTCCTACCGAGCATCAGCAACACAGAAACAACTGTGTCCCATTTGAGTATATGCTCACTTTAGTTTGCATCTCTCCCTCTAAACCTGAAATCCTGCTTTACATCATATGTTTAACCGGTTCTTGAGTGAGGTAATTAACTTAATATTAACTGCCTTTATTGACATCTACCTCTTTTCTAACGATCTGTTGTAGGAAGGGAAATGTGTCTAATCTTGTTTGAGGCTTTTTAAAGTAAACATTTAAAAAAAGTAAAGTGGCAATCCCAGGAGAGGGCAAAGGCTTGGAAATGAATGGTAGTAGGTGTGAGTATACCTTGTGAATGATTTTTTTGTTGTTGTTGTGGCCTTCTGCCTTTCTCTTCCTCACTTCCTGTCTCTTTTCCCTTCTGTATTCCTACCCTATCTCCCAGTGGGCTTGTTGTTTGTGATGGGTGAGAGCAATGAGGACCAGCTGAGATATGTTGAAGTAAGAGCAGATAATTTTTCAGAATGACTGAATTTTTTCTTTTCAGTTGTGGGTGTGGGTAGAGAATTTTTTTTATAATAATAATAATAATCCTTGCATTTGATATAACGCTTTTCACGTCGGGAGGACGTCCCAAAGCGCTTCACAGAACACACTGTAAAGTGAATTGACTGTATATTTGTGGGCGAACGCGGCAGCCAATTGCGCACAGCAATGTCCCACAAACAGTCGTAGATTGAAAATGACCAATTTATTATTGNTTTTGGTTTTGGAGGATTATTATTAGGCTCTGTGTGGAGTAAGGAAACTTGCCCAAGGTTTCGCCCTCTGCCTGGAATTGAACTCAGGTCTCTCACTGGCAAAGCGAGTGCTCTAACCACTGAGCTACAGGACTCCACAGTCAATGTTGACTTATCATTGAATTGGTGAGAGTTGCAACTTCCAAAGGCAAAGTTCAACTCAGAAATGATACATCAGTAAATCGCATTCCAAGTAAAGTGATGCAATTCAGATGATATTGCCAAATGTATGGTAAATCATCTTTTGTTATCCAGTGAGCTGGGCATATACTGCTTAGAAATTGTACTCTGCTTCCACCTCCTATGCAATTCCAGTTCAGGCTCCGCTGTTCCATGTCTATTCCTAACCAGAAAAGGAGGATAGATAACCCACTCCCGCTGCTAGCGGTAAAAGGCCAATGTGGCCTGATGTGCTCGCCATTTTACTTCTCTTAGTACAAATTTGATATCCATTCTGGTTCTTCCGTTTAGCTCCAATTATGATTGGGAATTTATGGATCGGAGCCCTTACACTCCTAACAGATGCAAAATGGCATTTTAGTTTTTCAGTGCAGACTAGAAGGACTTGCAAAGCGAGTGCTCTAACCACTGAGCTACAGGACTCCAATGAGACTTTTAAACCCATGGAGACACTTAAACTAATTACTGTAATTCTTTAAGGATTAGAATGTGTAAAACCTGAGCGCTTGGCCATGTGCGGTTCTTAACTTTGTGCAAGTTGATATTTTTGCCTGTGCTTTTTTGTTTGGTCAGCGGGTGTCTGCTGCATGCAGAACCCAGCACCATGGGGTAGCAGTACTGCATTGTCAGACCTATCATCTTTTGGATGGTATGTTAAACTGGAGTCCGGTTTGTCTGTTTAGTTTGATCTCACTGCACTATTTGAAAGGAAAAGAGTTTGCCAACAGTCTTCCAGATAAAGTTCATTGTTCACTTTATGGTTGTTTTTGGTACCTTGCCATGCACAAGTTGCTGTTTCTCTTCAAATATTACTACATTTTCCAGCAAATGTCTGTGAAACGATTTAAGATACTTGATTGTTATAGGTGCTATATCAAATGCAGTGTTGATTAATATTATTACATAACTTTATTGGGCATAATAAGTGACCAAATAAATTCAATGCTGAATTGGGTTTCTAAGTAATGTTTTGTTGCTTTTCACTTTCTGTTATAATGCTCTTGATCTGGTTAATCTATGACTAAACTTGACTCTTCAATCTCATCATTATTGCTTTGAAATAACTTTGTGTACTATAATTACTGGATTCACTACCTGAACATGCTCTGTTTTTGTCTTTCAGGTATTTTCAAGAGAAACAACTCTAGGCTAATGGAAGAAATCTTAAAACAGCAACAAGAATTGCTAGGTCTAGGCTGTTCCAAGTACCCTGTTGAATTTTTAAATAACAGTAACAACAAAGTAGACCAAGGTAGGTGATTTAGTTAATTAAGTTTTCTTTCTATGAGAAGTGTATCTTCTTAAACGTTTCTTAAAGGGAAACCCTGGTATAAGGTGGGCTTGCTTACAATGCTGGTCTCCAGTATACCTATTGCTGACCAGAAGCATAGGTTTGAACTAAAAGACATGTGGCTTTTGTCTCTCCACAATTGTTTTTAAAACAAATCTTCAAAGCATAATGCGGTTCAGATACAACGTGTGCTGGAATGTGGAGTTGTTGACACGATAGCAGCTTTTTTTCTGAAGCAGTTCTACCTAGAATGGAAGCTACTTAGAAACTTCCTATTAGAAACATGGGTTTGGTCTAATTTATTAAGGGGGAGGTGCAGGATTGGTTTATGCTGATATGACTTGACCAAAGGTCTGAGACCATAAGACGTAGGAGCAGGAGTAGGCCATTCGGCCCCTCGAGCCTGCCACGTCATTTAATAAGATCATGGCTGATCTTTTGACCTAATTCCATTTACCCGCCCTATCCCCATATCCCTTAATCCCTCTATCCTTTAGAAATCTATCAGCCTTAGTCTTGAATATGTTCAGAGCATTCACAGCCTTCTGGGGTAGAGAATTCCACAAATTCACTACCCTCTGAGTGAAGAAATGTTTCCTTAACTCAGTTTGAAAAGGCTGACCCTTAATCTTGAGACTGTGACCCCTAGTTTTAGATTCTCCAACCAGGGGAAACAGTCTCACGGCATCTACCCTGTCAAGACCCTTAAGAATCTTATAGGTTTCTATAAGATCACCTCTAATTCTTCTATATTCTAGAGAATATAGGTGTAGTTTACTCAACCTATCCTCATAGGTCAAACCCCTCATCCCAGGAACCAACCTAGTGAATCTATGCTGCACCTCCTCTAAGGCGAGTATGTCCTTTCTTAAATAAGGAGATCAAAACTGCACATAATATTCTAGGTGCGGTCTCACCAAGACCTTATACAATTGCAGCAAGACTTCCCTACTCTTGTACTCTAACCCTTTTGCAACAAACGCCAACATGGCATTAACCTTCCTAGTTGCTTGCTGTACCTGCATACTAACTTTTTGTGACTGGTGTACAAGGACACCCAAATCCCTCTGAACCTAACACCACTACCTAGTCTCTTCCCCCTCTAGAAAATAGTCAGCTTTTCTATTTTTACTACCTAGGTGGTGAATAACTTCACATTCCACCCCCCCCCCCCCCCCCCCCGGTATACTCCATCTGCCACCTTCTTGCCCACTCACCTAGCCTGTCTATTTCCCTTTGCATTCTTCGTGTGTCATCTTCACAGCTTACTCTCCCACCTATCTTCATATCGTCTGCGAATTTAGATATATTATGTCCTATTTCCTCATCTAAATCATTGATATAGACAGTAAATAATTGAGGTCCAAGCACTGATCCTTGTGGCACTCCACTAGTCACATCCTGCCAATCTGAGAAGGACCCGTTTATCCCTACTCTCTGTTATCTTCCTGTTGACCACTCTCCAATCCATGCTAATATATTGCCTTTAATTCCATGGGCTCTAATTTTATGCAACAGCCTTTTATGTGGGACATTGTCGAATGCCTTCTGGAAATCAAAATATACCACATCTACTGGTTCGCCCCTATCTAACCTGATAGTTACGTCTTCAAAAAACTCTTAGATTTGTTAAACATGATTTCCCTTTCGTAAAGCCATGTTGACTGCCTAATCATGTTATGATTTTCTAAGTACCCCACGACGACATCCCTCATTAAGGACTCTAGAATGCATCCATTCACAGCACATGGGGACTTCACTGTGTTGCCTTGCTACATATATTGTAAATGCCTGAGTTAATGTATAAATAGCTTTTAATTTGTTTTTATTTTACATAGTGTTGCTTATTGTAGCCATTCTTTTCTTCCTTTGGGCTATATCTTTAATCCGAGAGAGTGAGGTGGGTGGTTTACTCTCAGCTCACTATCAAATCAGGTCAAAGATTACTATGCAGGAGCAGATTGGTGGCGTTTTCATAGCCAATATAGATTTTTTTTGTCTCTTTTCCCCTCGTAGATTTGAGTTTGTGTGTTCAAGGCCCATGTCGGATTCTTTTAACTTGCTGTCTTGGCTGATACTGTAATACAATGCTGCATTGTCAGATGTTGAACCAAAGTGCTGTATGCCTGCTCCAATGTTCATTAACGTAGAAATATTTGAAAAGATAAGGGAGTTTCTTCCAGTACCCTTGCCAACAAACTCACAGATAAAGTATCATTCTCTTCATGGCTGTTTGTTGGACATCGCTGTGTACAACAGTGGCTGCCATGTTTGCTTACAAAATATGCAGTCACTATACTTTACAGTTAATACTCTGAAGTGGTTTGGACAAAGTCCTGATGTGAAAGATGCTATATCAAATGCAAGGATTATTAATAATGTAATTTGTTTTTTAGTTTTAACTTGTCCGACTACAGTGAAAGTACTATCACCCGATGACGGGAAAGAAGATATAGTGAAAGCTGCCAAGACATATTGTCAATTAGTTGCTCAACACCAGCGAAGGTCCAACGATCTAGATGTGAATGTTTTGGATAGTTTACTTAGAGGTAAGCTGTATCTCTTATTCAGTAGGAATAACACTTCAAAGCACTTAATCACTTGGGAATATATTTAATGAAACAAAGAAGTAATTTCCATGGCAAACTCATGAATACGATGGTCTGGTTCCCAAAGGGTCATTTCCTGTGTTAAAATGAAGCTCAAGAAAATGACCGATTTCTGGATCATGAGGCTACCACTGACTACTTCCTGCACTATGAGCAGGAAACTCACTTGATGTTGCATCTGATATGCTACATATGTTTTAAATTAAATTTAAAAAATGGGAAGCTGGCTGGTCAATGCAGGAAACCAGGTGGCCATATTTCTGGTGTAGCACAGGTTCACAGTACACCCTCGCTGTAAACAGACCCACGTAAAATCAGGACACTTTATAACCGAGGCGTACTGTTGCATTCTAAAGAGATTTGATTATAAAAAACATTGTCAATGTTTTGAGTGATACTTGATAACATGTGAAAACTTTAAATAAACACATTAGCACATTTTCCACAAGCTCATTACGGCCACTTTTTTTCAAACACCATCCTTTAATACTGTGGTTTTTGCAAATCTTTGTAGACTCCACCCGCCCACTATCTCTTGAGTGAAAGTTCTGAAAGTCACTCAAACACAAGAACTTCAGAATATTTATCCGTCTTTTGTCTTCTTCCTCCATATACATTTTGCTTTATTGCTCCTTCTCAAATGGTCATGGATATTATGTGGAATGGAATATTAGATCTTTTCAGTCTGCATCTGATACTTATCCAGCCTTTTAAAGGAATTAATTTGTAACATTGCTTACTTTTGGTAAACCGTTCATATATCTGCTGTATTAAAGTAGTTTCAAAATTTTGAATGTAAGTTGTTGTCAAAATTGTGTTGCAAAGTTAAGTTGTTTGAGGAAAAACGATTGCATTGTATCACAATATTATTACACTGCAAAGAAATCAGCCTTTTCCCCCTCCTGATGATGGTTAAACTAAACTTCCATTAGACCATTTAACAAAGCAAATAACATTTCTTAACTTGTTTTTATCATTGTTCTTAATTAATGGCAAAGTTGACTTTTACTCAATGTGGTGCTATGGTTGTTTTCTCCTTGATTTGTAAGAAGCCATCCACACGTCTTTCTGATCCATTTGGTGTTTTACAGTGTTGGGTAATTGCATGATGAATGGAGATGACCATTCTGAATCACAGATTTTGTGCATATGTGCATAGACACCATTTGTCTTTTTTAAAAAAAAGTTTTGTACTACAGGCACTGGCAGCATCAAACTATTTGGATGCACACTCAAACTCATGAGTCTGTGTGGAACCTTGGTGTCTCATTCGACTCAAGTGTCCTTTAAAACCCACATATGTGCTCTGATCACCTCTGTAACACTGCCCACTTTCTCAACATCGCCCTCCATAGCCACTACCTCTCCCCTTTGGCTGCCGAGATCATAACCCATGCTTTCATCACATCCATGCTCTGTTCACCGAGCAGTAAATAGGGACCTGATTGTTAATTGATTGGTGGATCACTTTTCCGGGGTAGTAATACCCCTTTAAAAAAAAGTAGATAATAATAATTTGGTCACTTAAACAATAACTGTTTGTGGGACACTTCTGTGCACAATTGGCTGCTGCGTTTCACCGATAAAACAGTCAATTCACTTTACAGTATATTCTGCAAAGCGCTTTGTGATGTCTAGAAGACATGGTACAGCTCTATATCAAATGCAAGGATTATTATTATTATAACTACTCGCCAGACTAACTGTCTCTTGCCTTCACAGCTGCAGACCATGCAGAACTCACTGCAGGTCATGTCCTTTACCACACCAGGCTCCATGAGCCTATCACCCTCGTCCTTGCCCGGTTCCAATGGTTCCCCATCCTCCCAGAAGATCACGTTCAAGATCTTTGCTCTAACATTTAAATTCCTCTATGATCTGGTTCCACCCTATCTCTTGACCTCAAAACCTACAAACCCAGTTGCTCCCTCAGCTCAGTGGGCACTGGCCTGGCTTCATGTGCTTCGCCCCAACCACCTCACCATCGATGGTTGGGCTTTCGCGGTATCTTTCCCCACTCTGGAACTCTATTCGAAATCCCATCGATTCGCCCCTTCCCTCACCTCCTTCAAGGCCTGCCTCAAGACCTTCTTTCACCGTCCTTTCAGCCATCCTTCCAATCCACCCTACTCTCCCCACCCCTTGCCTCCCACCCCCAGCTGAGTCACAAACTTCAGACTGTCCAGCATCTTGGGATGCTCTCCCAGTATGAAAGGCGCTAGATAAATGTAAATTATTTTATTGTTGTAATCATATTTCACATATCCTCCGACTATACAGGTGGAGGTCTGTGTGCTGACTTCTTATCTGGTAGTTAATTTAAAAGAAAATCAGCAGTTGGAATGCTCTTGTTTTTAATTTCTAAATTCCGTTGCAATTTCTCTTAATGATTTGAAACGACAGATTTAAACATAGCCATGTAGTTTCATACTTATTTGACTCAAAACAACTAGGAAATTGCAACAGTTTCATGTGATGCTCTCACAACTCCAGTAACAAGCCTATTGAGACTCAGTATTTCACAACTGTGTGGGTTGCTGCTTGACAGAGCATTGAGACTGATCAAAGTGACATTCTTCAACCACGGTTTATCCAATTTAACATCAGCGCCACTACAATCCATATGCTTTGGTGTTGAGTAGCTTTGATTACTCCAGTAATGAATCAGCTGGATTGCCAAAGGATACCAGCAACAGGATCAGCAGGAATTCACATTGTACTAGCTGTTTTGGCAGAAGCAAGTTTTGGCCACATTAAGAAACTTTAGAAAGTTATATTCTGGAACTACTTGAAAAATTGCCCGTACATACTGAGTCTGGATATACTAAGGCAATTCCTCATCTAGCCCTCCTTCGCATCAGTGAAGTATCAGCAATAGCTAAATTAGTTCTCCAATTGGATAATGTGAAATCTACATTGAGCTCAATAAGAGAAAAATCCATATTGGAAGAAAATTATAACCAAGAAGAGCCTCAAACCTAAGATTATCTGTTGTAAGGTATAGATTTCAAAGAATGTAACTAGTAGTTGTACAAGGTTGGTCCAAGCTGAAGCAACTCTCCCTCTGTGTAACAGCAGCCAGTGCCTGGCTTTTGCTCAGTTACACAGGTGCCTGTGTATTTTTTTTAAAATGTGATGTATACCATGAAGTATGTCTGGGCCTGTGTTTTTTAAATTACTGTCCTGCAGAATCTAATGGCAACAATATTATTGTGTTTTTGTTCAGTTCATTTTTAAAAAATTTGAACCACAATTTCACAATGATAAATAGTGCTAACTCCACGGCTGCTTCTATATGTTAATGTGTGCTGCTCTGCTCATGAGTGATCAATGCTTTGCATTTAAGTCATTACCTAGATTTCAATTATTGTTTTATACTTTCCAATAAAAGACCAATGCAGGTTTTTTAAGTGATTTATATTAAAATGATTAATCAAATTTGCTAATACTTGAAACCTTGTTTTATCAGGAGGTTACCCTGACCAACACCATGCTAATATTTTCAAATTTGCCAGCCCACTTCCCTGCTATTTTTAACCAATTACCTCATTATTCGTGATGATCACAATAATAATCTGGTTTCTCTGGTATATTATAACCTTTCTCATTTTCAATTTATTTTTCTCAAACAGGTACTGCAGGTTTACCCGATCCTGATCTAGTTTTGAAGTTTGGTCCTGTGGACAGCACTCTAGGATTTCTACCTTGGCACATCAGACTTACTGAAATAATGTAAGGGCCTTTTGGAACTTTTTTCCCCAGAAAGCAAGTTGAATTTGTGTGGCATGTTTAAAGGAGAAAGTATTTGTAAGTTATAACGTTTGTACAAGCATTTGTAAGTTATAATTGAAAGGTATGGTGTCTTTCACATTGGTAGGACGTTTCAAAGCACTTCACAGGATATACTGTAAATCGGATTGACTTTTTTGTGGATGAATGAAAGTTGATTATTTTCATTAGTCTGTACTGAAAACCTTTCATTGTTTAGGACACTCTAACTGCCTTTTCCCATCCTGTGTTTTATTTGTTAATCAGTGTACCTGAAATCAACATGTGCAAGCGTCATGACATGTTGAAATTCTTTTGTCCTGGACATTAAATCACAGACCTACAATTCCTCATAAGGGGCTTGTTTTCAGCTATGCTGTTGGAGGAATGAGGCTTGGAAATGCTGAGAGAAAGAATGCTTTACGACATCCTCCTGAAGTGAACGTGTTCTATAAACGTAAATTAAATTGTGTTTTTTTGTGATCAACCAGGCATCTGACTTGACTGGAAATCCAATCCAAACAAAAACTTGTATTAGTTTGATTTGAAAACAGGCTCAATTGTGTTTGGAATTTACACTGTTTCTTCTGTGTCTGTCCTTGTTTGTCACGTTGAGAATGAGGACATAAATCTCAATCTACAATTCTAGGGCAGAGGGACATATTCTACTTGCTCAGTTATACATAGATTTTAAAGCTTATTTTTTGTGGGGATAAATTTGCTGCCATTAAGTATGGCTAGTCTCACAACATGACTGCGATTCAGTCACAGGGTAAAAGTTGACTGGCCATATTTAAATTAAGAATTAAAAAAATCTCATATAATATTAATATTTTCCAACTATGTGAAAATTAGTATTGAAACCAACACACCTTCATTATGGAAGAACTAAAGTTACCAACTCTAGTGAGTAAATAGAGTACAAAAATGTTCAACAAAGTGGATAAGTGATGTTCTTCAAATGCATTTAAAGCTCCTTCACTTTCGGTTCTCATGGTCTAACTCGAGTCTTGTAGCTTAGTGGTTAGAGCATTGGCCTGCAAGCGAGAGGACCTGGGTTTGACTCCTGGCAGGGTGAAACGTTGGGCAAGTTTCCTTGCTCCACATTGGTGAATTGCTTTTCCATGGTAATAATTTCTTCAAAATTAATAAAAATAATTTTGTCAGTCAATCCACAACTGTTTGTGGGACACTGCTGTGCGCAATTGGCTGCCGCATTTCGCCCGCAAAATATACAGTCTGAAGTGCTTTGAGAAGTCTCGAAGATGTGATAAAGTGCTACATCCAATGCAAGTGTTATAATTATTGTTCCTTGTATCTGAAATGCCATTGAGGCACTTTTTTATTTTTATGTAAAAGTATCCCGTGGAACTGCTCCAGCCTGGTCATTTGGTTGCTTTATTCCCTTAGCTTTTTTCTTTGCAACACTAGATGGCAGTATGTACCTGTCATGCATCCTATATTGGCATCCACCATGTGTCTTGAAACTTAGATGTAACTGAATAATATTGCAAAGCAAACTTAACGACTCATAAATTATGTGTTCTAGTAATTTTAAACCCATTAAATTGGTCATTTTCAATCCACGATGTTTGTGGGATACTGCTGTGCACAATTGGCTGCCGCGTTTCGCCCACAAATATATGGTCAATTCACTTTACAGTATATTCTGTGAAGCGCTTTGAGATGTCTAGAAGACATGAAAAGCGCCATATCAAATACAAGGATTGTTATTAATGTTAATTACTTAAAATGTGACTGACTCTTGTAGGTCATTCTCAATTCCATCTAATCTGAACTGATTTGTCAAAATCTATAGCCTTACAGAAATTCAATCTTAAGCTCATCCTATGTTTTTATTTAGATGTAAATAGCCTGATGCTTTTTGTGTATGTGTAGCTTTGTGCTCCTATATACATCGTTCTCGACTGAGCATTATTGTAGTGTTGATGCCAGATGTAAAAACTAGTGTAATGTTAGGAGATGAATTCCACGTTTAAGAGCTTTTAATTATATTGATTTATGGTCAAGTACTGTATTTATTGATCACGTATTTATGTCTTTTGAGTTCAGGAAGGTTTTATTAGCTGTTAAGCGTCCCTGACCAAGCTGCTGGATGCAGTGCCATTAAGAAACCATTTGCATTTTTATAAAGCATCTTGAGCAATAGCCAGGTTTGAGGAAGGAAAAGCACTTGCTGAAAAATGATAGTTGCACATATAAGCTTTGGTTAGAGATAATGTGTGATACTAAGCAATCTTTGAGGGAAGAAATTAGAAATACAATGAGGTTTTAACTGAAGTTGATGTTAAAAGAGGTTCTGAGAGATTGACACAAATATGCTGTAGTAACACTGCACATCTCTAAACTAGGTGTGGGGAGAAAATAATTTCATAAGCCAGTGGTTTGCAGTTTAAACTCCAGTTAAAACATTTACAATACTTTCAAGGGTAATCTTTTTTGTTAACTTTTTCAGTAAAATGGTATGAACTTTCCTATTGAATAGTCTAGAACTGTATTTGAATGACTGAGAAATTTTAGTCATTGGGTAAAATCTGACCAACATAATCATTTGTTTGGATTTTTTTAATACCAATTAATTGATATGAGGTATTCCAAAGTTTGTATTTAGTGTTGTAAATGTGCAATTTCACACCTCTTCTGTACTTCTGTTCCCCACAGATCCTTGCCTTCTCACATCAATCTAAGTTATGAATACTTTTTTTCTGCCATCCAACGCTTTGCAGTCTGTGAGCAACGTATGGGAAAATGACCAGAAGACATGGAATCAATTCCAGGCTTCAGTCAAAGGGACCCAATGTTTACAAGCACCTGTGAACCATTGAAGCCCGGTTCAGTGTCTATTTATCAATTGAAGATATTAAACATTCTTCTGTGTCCAGATGTTCTGTAAGTGTCTGTAAGGGTCAATCTGTGTAACAGTGAGCAAATCTGGGCTTGACAACAGTAGTTTGGCATTCCCAAATGGGACCTGTACGTCCAAAAGGTTTCAGTACTGTATGTCATTGGACTCTTCTTCCCTGGATGATATGGACAAACAATCTTTCTACAATGCCTTGCACTAAACGTGTGTTGAGTAAATGTATTGACTTCTTGCAATTTATAAAATATAGATTTCAACATAACCTGCACAGTTTTAATTGCCTGGAATTTAGCCTTAAACTAAAGTCTACACCAGGGATATTTGCTCATATTCAGGAAAATACTACTAAAAGATTTAAAGGCAGCTAATTTTTCTTTGTTTACAAAGCTTTATCAGTATGGAAATTGGGTTTTACGAAGGAAAGCGACTGCACTATTCCATTCTAGCATTGTGATCTGCTCAGTTTGTACTTTGCTTTATGTGGTGGAGTTGCGCAATGTGTTCATTGGTGCCCTTTACACCAGGGTTGTAGACCAATGTGTGATTCTATATTAGCTGCAGAATAAATTGGACTAAATAAATGACTTTTGTTTTTCCCCATTTCCAGTGATTATAATTGATCTTCAACCATTTTGTTTTGTTTCTGTGGGATGGATCTATTGAAAATTAATGGTAGGTGAGGGGTTATGTTTGAATTCAAGCACATACAAAACAAAGGATGTCTAGGGGAGCATTGCAAGGGATTGCAATAATACAATTTTAAGGGTTTGGATTGCATAAACAGTGATGCTCAATTGGTTTATAATCAGAATATCAATATGGATTACTGTTTTTAATCGCCTTTGAAGTATTTATTTATATAACGCAGCATATAAAAAAAAATGCAATATTTTTTGTACGTCCAGAAATCCAGAGGACTTGATCTCTGAGCTCCATGAGTTTGTTCCATAATGCAGATGCTCTGATGTGTAACTTCATTAACATTTGTGACCTGAGCAGATGTATGGGTACATGTGTCTGTATAGCATTGTTATGGTTTTGCAGTGTTCTGGTATTGCAAGAGTATTGTTGTGTAAAAGATAATGCTTTGAGTATAATTGTCAAATTGCAACAAATTACAGAAAAGTAAATCCATTATCTGTGTCATCAAAGTGGCAGATGATATGGTATGATCCTGATATGATGGTGTCGTAACTGTCACCTATCAATGCAGGGAAGAGGAGCTTGTGAATCCAGTGATGTACGTGTTATTTGGGTTGATGCCAAATCTTCATTTTCTTCAGTAATTAACCTGGAACAAGTAAACATAGCATCATTAATTGGAAATGCTAAATATATTGGGGAAAGGGAGGGTTGTGTTCCTGTTGAGAACTGAGATAAATGGCTATTATTCAGTGCATATGGCATTGGCTTGGCCTGTGTACCTGTAATTCAAATAATTGAATGAAAATGTTTTTATGATTTAAAAATAAATGGAAAGCATCTACTATTTGTATGAGAAGATACAAGATACAGGTCCACAATGTATACTCTCCTTGTACAAAATTAAAAGTGTTTCTTTTGTCATGGCAAGTAAGATGGCAAAAGTAATTTCTATTTTTTAGAGCATCAACTCCTATTAGATAAGCATGGTTATTAATCAAAATGTTTAAAAGGCTGCTAAGGGAATAGCAGTTTATTATTGGTACTGTGACATTTTCAGCTTGTAATTGACGATAAAATTCTGCGGCTATAAAGAGAAAATGGTGTGAATGTGGATGGATGGCTAGTTTCTTTTTGATTAAAATTCTTTTGCACAGGTCACAATGTTATCTCCTTGTGTTATACATTTAAGTCCAGTTCTATCTGATTCAACTGTCCATGAAATGTAGCATAACAGATATTTTCATAACCATTTGGTTAAATTTACTCATATTTTGGGAAAGGGGAAAAAGGAGCATTACCTATTCTTAGTAAACAGTGCCAAATACACTGTGATATCCAAATGATGCGCTATGAATGTACAATCGACTTAAGCATTTATCTAATGCTGTATTGTTAAAATTGGACACGCGATGGTATACAGATCAGACTTGGCTTCTTCATTTCACAAAGTTTGTAGTCGCTGGCTGCTTGTACATAAAATGTAAAACCAATTTTTACAAATTAGAAAACGTCTTGGATTTTATTATGAATGGAATATGCTCTGTACCTGTATAATGACAGATGAACAAATACAATTTCCATCTTGCAATGTGTTGATATCAGTGTGTAAAGTTAGAAAACCCTTTTGTATTCATATACATGTCAAAACATTCATTCTACCAGTTCGATCTTAATATTCTTTTCCCAAGATTGCCCTGCATAGTATTTACCATCTCCTCCCTCTTCTCCATATTGGAGTAGACTTGTAGTAGCTTGAAACGTATCATTTTCATTATGTTTAGCGAGGTTAAAAGATAATCCTTGCATTTGCTATAGCGCCTTTTAATCAGGAGAATATCTCAAAGTTCTCTATTTTACTGTTAAATGTAGCAACAGTACCTTGGAGGCAAACAAGGCAGACAATTTACACACAGCACTGACCAATTTTGACCAATTTTCTTTTGGGGATAGGAATTGTTGTCCAGGACACCAGGAAAAACTACTTTTTTTTGAGTAGTGTCAGATTAGATTGGAAATGAGATTACATTTCGTTTGAGTTGTCACCAATCTAGATTAATCAAAACCTGAATTTATAAAATAGGGAGGTTTGCCACCATCTATATGAAACCCTTTATATTAAATATGTATTAGCACAGACAAACAATGTGGATACAAGTTTGTTTCAAGAATATGCATCAATGTATATTTGAAATTTTCTGATCTTATAACAATAGGTGCTGTTATTGGTGCAAATCTCCTTGAACCTTTTTACACCTTATTGTGATTCAGTGCCACCAGAAAGTATGTGTAGATGATTGGAGAAGTTTTATGTGAGGCTTGGCTCTATTATTTCATTAATTAAATATGGATATGGTGAAAAGATGGAAAACGGGATGAAAAAAATCTATCTTGACCTAAGAAAATTGCCAAATTGATGAATGGCTAACTACTGTTACTTTGAACAGTTTTCCCACATTCACTACTTAACTCTTATGCGAAGAATAGCCACTTGGATGAAGTCAGATTTATGGACCATGTAGAAGAATTTCCAGTTATTTTCTCATGTGGGATCTTCTGAAAATAAAGTTAATAACCATTGTAATAAAGGATTACCTAAGGTGTTCAGAAACTATCCTGTGTATGCTGAATTGACTCATTCAAAATTGCCATTTGACTAACTAAATGTACAAAGGGCTCACTTCTTTCAGTAAAATGAAAATCTTGGGGAATGTTAACGTTAAATCTTCTCATTAAGGTGTAATCCTCACAGGGTTAATTATATTTGTTGAATCTTTCAGCTGCAGTCTGCATTTTCAGGAATCTCCCCTTAAAGTGGAGACTCAGCATGTCAAAGAAACGGGGCGGGGGAGTCTTTATCATGTAAAAGCCTGAGAAAACGCACACTATTTTTACAAGCGGTGCATATAAATGAGTGCTGAGGGAATGTTATGCATAACTAAAATAGATCTAATTAGAATAAATTACTTCAGAGAATATCCAAGAAGTTCATTAAAAAAAAATTCCCATTAACTCAACGCAGTTGATTTATGTTGTGTTCATAATCCTTTGGTCCTTTCATTGGCCTGAGTGACCCTTTCTCAGAATGCACTGTTCCTGATCTGTTCACTCAAAATGTTGGAAGTTTTTTTTAAGTATTGTTCTTATTGCCTTGTTCATGGGGTTTGTTTCATATCAGACCCTGCTGCAATTGAATTTGATGAGATTCCTATCCTGACAGTGGAAGTTTGTATGCACATTCGTCTTGTATTCACAAGCTGCTCAGTTAGGAGAAATCACGGGGACTTCTATTACATTGACTATGAAAGTAATGACAAAGCCCTCTTATACATAGACATAAGGTAAGATACCTCTTTTGAGATATTTTTTCAAGATTGAAAAGCCCCAGCTTGACTAATTGTCATCTGCCAATGTATCTCTGGCACTGGGTCTGCAAATCCAAGACATTAATGTATACAATGAATAAGAGGAGTTCTAATGCAGACCCTGAGGTACCCCAATTAATACTTCCCCCAATTTTTATCTACAGCCACAGTATGCTTCCTTTCTATCAATTTCCAATCCATGTCTACATCTTTCCCTTGATTCGCAGTGACATCAGATTTTTTTCATATGGTACGAGACTTCAAGGTCATCCCCTTAAACATCTCTTCATGCCCTCACAACTCCTTATCTCTGATTTTCTCCTACCCCACCTCTGCTCGCCCCTTTATGCTTGTCCCTGCCGTCTCTGCCCCTAACTTCTATAACGTCCTCCCTCCACCCTCGTCTCTAAATCTCGCTTCAAAAACCTATGATTTTGACTCCCATCTCCCTCACCCCCCCCCCCCCCCCCCTCACACACACTCTTCCTTGCTTGGCATCTTGATAAGTTATTGTTATTAAAACACCTTTCGGATGACTAGATACACTGCTATGTAGCTTCCCTCGATCAATTCAGTGTTATCTAAAAAAAATCAATGAGGTTGGTCAGACAAGATCTACTACCCCCCTTGTCAGAGATTGCTGCTTTGTAGATTTCTATTTAGAGATAAGATGAGAATTCAAACCCAAAAGCTAGGTATGTTTTATGTTTCAGATGCTCAAGTCTCAAAAAGATCATCCAATACTTAACAGTTTGAAAATTGCATACAATTATGTATAAGTGGGTTGCCGAGGTTTGCTAATTTATCTGGAAAATGACGTTTTTGACATGGTGAAACTAAAAATAGAAAATAATTTAAAAGTTGAGGTTTATAAAAAATATACATTGCTAAAATGAAGCACAGGTGTTAATTGGAGAGGACAAGTTTGCAGCGCTATGGGGAGAGCATGGGCGAGTGGGATTGATTTGATAGCTCTTTTCAAAGAGCCAGAACAGATGCGATGGGCCGAATGGCCTCCTTCTGTGCTGTATAATTCTTTGATTCTATGAATTGATCATTCTTGTCATATTGAACAGAATTCCAACTTTGCTATGAATAGAAACCAGGAGAGGAAGTGAGTAAATCTAACCTATCAGTATTCTGCCTTTTCAATCAACTTCCTAGTTAAGAATCTCAATACTGCATAAAATTAGGTTTTCATGTCGAGCCTTGTTCAGATTAAATAGAATGCTGCTTTATTTATCTTTATTATGTGACTTTGGTCTTGCAAAGTAAAAGTGATTCCTATTTTAATAAATGCCGAATAACAACAACTTCCATTTGTATAGCGGCATAGGATAATGTCTCGGATTGCTGAATTGGAGTGGACGTTTGACATTCCTAAAAAGATTGAGGTCTTGCAATTTTTCAGTGTATCAATTTAATCATTTTGGTGAAGAGGCTGCTCAATATTCAATAGTTATGTGTTAAACATGCATAATGTATTAATTGTCTGTTGAAGTATTCTTTCATTTTAGGCAGAATGTTTAAATTGTTTCCTCATTTCATGAAAAAAAGTCTTTATGTTTGGGGCAGCCCATCATGTCATTTGAAACGCTGAATTCAATGATTAATTGTTCACCTTTTGAATATTACCCAACTTAGTACAAAGCACTGACTGAGATGTATGAAGATTATCTTGTCAATGCGTATGTAAAAACTATCACAAGACACCCACATTGAATAATTTGTATTGATTATTGGTTTGCTACAGGTCTCATTCTACTTTAATTACTCGAGACTCGATACATATCTGTTTGACCCTTTGGTTTCCATTCCCAACTCGGGTCCCCAACCAAGTAGTATCAAGCATTTTGAGATTTCATCCTGACATGAAAGGCACTGTATAAATTAAATTGTATTGTTAATCCATTATATGATTCTGTGGATCTTGGTGAATTTCCAAATGTTGACATTATTATTCACACAGGTCATATGTAGAAATTACACAGGTTTCTATCATAGAACAACTCCAATTCTTTGTTTCAGGTGTGTCACTGAAACTCAAAATCATTATTTCACACTTCTCCAAAGCTTCATATCATTTTCCCCCTCCTCCAATTTCCTTTCCTACATGAACACTGCTAACATGCTGGGTACATTTCCATGGGTGCTTTGCCTCAGAGGTTATTTTTCATGTGTGTCCTAGCATAGTGTTTATCAGCAGGCTATTGGGGGATGGAGTGAAGTTGGTGGGGTTTGGGAGGTGGGTGTGTGGCGAGTGGGTGGGATAGCAGAAAGGCTGATCATTGTTGAGCCTGATCCTGGCTTTGACCTCTATCTGCACAACTTAGCTTTTGGTTTTCCCACAAAGCACAGTCACTATACTTTACAGAATATCCTGTAAAGCACTTTAGGATGCCCTCCCAACATTTTCTTCATCAGCCGGGTGTCAGACACATGCGGAAACCCATCACCATGCTTAAGAGTATCCAAACCAAACTGAATTTATGAACCTTATCCTCACTTTCAAGTGCCTTCATAGTCTCACCTCACCCTACCTCCTGCACCCTACTGCCTCAGCTGCTCCCTCCACTCAGCAAACACTGCTTCTTGCCCCCTGCTCAATACGCTCCACCATCAGTCATCACTAGCCCTCTGGAATTCCAATCCAGAGTCATTCCACTTGTCCCCTCCCACCCCACCTTCAAATCCCGCTTAAGACATATTTTTGACTGCACGTTCAGCCATCTTTCCATTCTCTCACCTGCCCAGCTCGGTTCTCTTAACTGAAGCACTATATAAATGTAAATTGTTGTTGTCTTTCACATAGGAAATAATCTCAAAGTGCCCCATAGATGGGGAATGGCGACCTGGATGAGAGATAAGGAGTGGTAGGAGGGAATGGTAGTCGAAGACACAAAGAGATTTTAAATGTTTTTAGATGGCTTTTGGTAGCAGAGAGAGAGAGAGATGTACAAAGCAAATAATTAAGGGAGACAGTTACAGAGCTGAGTTTAAATTCAATTTAAAATGATTTTGATTATTTTCAAACTTATACATTTAAGAACCAACTAAAACTTTATATTCTTAGCAGATTTTGCTTAACTGCCTGTTAATGTTATTAATGTGTATAGAGACACAATTGATCTAGGAATATGTGGTTGGAAGGATCATTGTTTGTTACCAGAAAGATGCCTAACATATTTGCTGCTGCTCTACTTCATTTCTGAACAACTGATCAAAC